ATTCTGGTGCAGTTGGTCTTCGCTCCCCCCTTTCTGGCGTCCGATGAAACCTTTGCCTCAGCTGCAGGTTGAGGCGGCAGCAGATGCGATGGGGCAGGGAGACCGCTTCGCGATCGGGGGTTACATTACATCTGCGTCTGGCGAGTTTTGGTTTTCCGAAAATTTTCGGATTCAGGACTTTGCATTTGCCGAGATTCCACTGCGCTCGGAGGCAAGTCGAGATATAAGTTGCTATGAAGCCCTGGCGCAAATTGCATTGGTGTGGCTAATGGTCTCTCCTTTCTCTAAACTGTCTGTGCGTATTCATTCCTGGTGTGACAATACTGGGGCGGAAGCTTCGTCGAACAGTCTTTTCACGACGGCCTGGCCATTGGCTGCATTCACTCAACGTTTGGCTCTGATTTCCAGCTTAACAGGCATACATTTGGATGTCGGCCACATCAGTGGACCAACAAATGTGGATGCGGATCATCTCAGTCGATGGGTTGCCCCAGCACCGTTGGCTTCACGCTGGAAAGCTGAAAACAGACGCAGAGTTTTCTTGAAGCAGTTATGGTTTGCATCTCCATGTGTGACTGTTTCTCCGAAAGCTTGGCGGCCCCCCATTTGTTCTTCCTAGTTCATCTCCCCTGGGAGCTGCCTTATAATTTTATAATTGTGCAGCCTGCACGGTTACATTTGGCGAAATTTTGGCGCGTCTGCACTTCTTCTCTGCCAGGGTTACAACTTGGGGAAATATATGCCGATCCATTGTGTCTACATTGAGTCGACTGAGTCGATTCCGAGTTGCTCGAAGTGGATCTGCATTCCGGCAGTGAAAGAAGAAGTGCGCTTCGGTCTTGAGCTAGTTCCTTGCTACTTGGAATGTAGGAATTTGTAAAACAAATCTTACATTGCTTTATCGCATTAAAGCTAGCGCCAGCTGCGGCCAAATACTGTGACCGAACTGCAAACTACAATCTCTGCGAACACACTCCTGCAGCTGCACTGCTACTTGGCAACACCTACACTCCCTGCATCCCTGCACCCCCTTATCAACTACACCCCAAGACCCGAGATCTCCTGCACCCCCTGCCCCCTACACCCATGCCACTGAATTCCACCCCCTACACCCCCTGCGTGCACCTCTGCAGAGCAAGTCTTCCTTCTCACTCTACGACTCACCTGCAGGGTTCCTGCACCTGCTGCCTCGTGAGGCCTCTTCATGCTGTAAGCCTTCAATGGCTGCAGCGATGGCATCTCTGCAACAGACTGCTAGCTGCAAACTGCAATGCCTGCACTTGAACACTCTGCAAAACTCCACTGTCTGCCATTGCACCCTCTGCAAAAGCTGCAATAGCTGCAACACGTTGCTTCTCTTTTTCATAAAGATTCAGTACATTCCTATTGTTTTTATAGAGAGTCAATACTTTGTTATTCAGTTTTAATAGTCATTCTATACATTCCTATTGTTTTCAATACATTCTTATTGTTTTTAATAGAGAATCAATACAGGGCCATGAACCCACTATTGCGGAACCCTGCATTCCTTATTGTGGGGGGGGGCCCCCCCCCCCAATTAAACAGATGCTCGGATTAGCTTCAGCACTGGCAGCGCAAAGACCTGCCCAGAAACCGTGAAGCCTCGCCTCTTAGCAAAAGGGTGAGGTCAGACCGACTCGGGTCGAAAAGGGCTGTTGAGGGTTGCTGTCGTCGTGCGTTCGTTTGGTAGTGCGGGCTAGCGTCCCGGCCAATGCTCTTGATGTGCGGACTACCTTTATCGCACGCGACTCCCGCCTTCCCCATTTCAGATGATGCGAGTGCATGATGCACTAAGTGCTCAGCTTGGCATAGCTGGGAGCCTCGGCTGAGGGGCGAATGTGAGCAGATCAAAGCACACATGCAACAAGTGCTCAGCTGCAGTGCGGTAGTGAGGTAGTCTTGTTTCCACTTGCATGTTAGTTTTGCAATTCGAATGAATGCCAATTTTGGCTCATGTATGAGACTAGACTTGTGCCCTTGTGCACGGTAGTTTCGTTCTGTAGCTTTTAGGTTGCAGAGCAGTCCGACCGGACGCTAGGCAGTAGGTTCACACCGAGCTTGGACCCGCGAAGTCAAATGCAGCGTGACCGCCTGTGTTTGCTTTGGTTTAAGGCAAGACCAGTGCTGGTCGACTTCACAGGGGGCGAGCATATTTATATATTTATATATTTATATATTAATATATTTTTATATTTATATATGTATATATTTATATATTTATATATGTATATATTAATATATTAATATATTAATATATTAATATATTAATATATTAATATATTAATATATTAATATATTAATATATTAATATATTAATATATTTATATATTTATATATTTATATATTTATATATTTATATATTTATATATTTATATATTTATATATTTATATATTTATATATTTATATATTTATACATTTATTTATATATTTATATATTTATATATATATATATATATATTATGTATTTATATATTTATATATTTGTATATTTGTATATTTGTATATTTGTATATTTGTATATTTGTATATTTGTATATTTGTATATTTGTATATTTGTATATTTGTATATTTGTATATTTTTATTTTGATATATTGATTTATTTATTTATGTATCAAACCTTGGAGACATCATGCAGTCTGAGAATCTAGACTTGGTCGATCTGCTCTTTTTGCCCGCCTTTGAGCTCAAATCATGCCACCAAGGTGTTTTTTGCTGACTTGTTTGGATCTAATGTCCACCGAAGGAAACACACGAAAACCCTCGAGACGGATGCCGCTGTCCCTGCGGACGGGTCCGCCGTGTTCGCACGCAACTGCTCCTTGCAAAATCTAAACGCTGCTCTTTGTAAGCGGCAAGACTCCTGGACTCATTGGCCTTGTAGCAACTCTACAAGCATAGTCGTTGTGAACAATCACTCCAAGGATCTTCGCTCTCTTTCCAATTATCGGCTGATTTCCCTTAAGCAAGTCTACATCTAATGACACAAAAATCGACAAAAAGTCACACGTTCACTTTTTTCTTTACTCGTTCACTGCAAGGTCGAAACTTGGGCATCGAAGAAGTCATGAGCACAAATCAGCTCAGCGAGCAACAGCAGCTTCATCATTCACCGCGAAATCCCTCCTAACGGAGGGCTGGGCGGGTCAACATTTTTCGTTCAGGTCAAACAGCCAGCTGAGGGAAACTTCACAAATCACACGTGGAACATGAGTGAGCATAACGCAAGAAAAAGAAGATTGGCAATGAGTGCAAAAGCATCAGAGCATAACATCAATCGGCTCCCGTGTGCCCTCCACTTGTTCGAGTACACTGGTCCGGCAGCTGACCTTCATTATCCGACCCTTGATTATGGTCACGGCGCGGTTAGCGGCCGTGGGCCAAAAGCACACCAAACTGTGGTTTTAACCCACGCAGGACAGTGTTTCGCTGTTGAAACGTGTTTTTCGGAGACGTCTTTTTTTGTTAACTTGCAGTGAATCTTAGGCATTGTTGTAGTCAAAAGTACCACGCCTGCCAGTGTTTTGAGTATGTTCTCATCATCGTATTATGAGTAGGTTTTTGCGCGTTTGCTGTGTTTTTGCGGTTCTGTGTTTTGTGGTTGTTTGGGTCCTTGGGTCTTCGCGCTCGCTCTCCTAACCGCTTCCCCAGGCTTAGCATATAAGGTTTTGGATTGTCAGGGTATAGGGTTAAGGGTTTGTGGTATAGCCTAGGGTGCTGTGGTTTTCCGGTCGTTCCCTCTTTCTTTTCCTCGGCGGTTTGAGGCTCAGGGTCGAAGACAAAGGCACGGCGCATCTCAAGGTCCGCACCAGATGGGCCCCATTCGAGGCGGCACTGATGCAAAGGGTGTACAAAATAGAGATTCACGCAACCGTCGAACAGAAGCTCTGCAAGTACGTTTCTCTGTGTCAATGCTGGAAGTGTGGACTAGAAGAGTGCGTGTAAAAGGCTGGAACTGTCAATGCTGGAAGTGTGGACTAGAAGAGTGCATGTAAAAGGCTGGAACTGTCAATGCTGGACCAGACGAGTGCATGTAAAAGGCTGGAACTGTAGACTAGAAAGGTGTACATAAAACACGGCAAGGAAACAGAGGCTATCTGGACCAGAAGCAAGGAAGAAGAAGCGTGAAGACATGCCCGCAACCAACCCCCCCCCTCCCCCCCCCTCCCCCCCGAAAAAGTTGTAAAATTAGCGTTTCGCCCACGGCCGCTAACCGCGCCGTGAGCTTGATTATCCTCAGGGAGGCCCAAGTGCACAAAAACACCCCTCGAAATCGAGTGTGCTTAGACAGTTTTGGCTTATTTGAAGCATTTGAACAGTGTTTGTTTATGAAATTCGCATAAACACTTTGTAAGAAATTCGAAAAGTCTTGGAAGTATTCTATACTTTGTTTGCATTTTGAAAGTGTCTTTTGTGCACACTTCTCGTACCTTCGGTTTTTGGTTGTGGTGATGCTGTGACTTACGTAGTCTTTTGCAATCCTTGTGAAGAGTCGTTCATCATCGAGACATCGCATGGCCGCAGCCATACTCGGTCCCGAAATGGAGTGATCAGCAAGTGCTGAGGATGGGACGATGCAGCATGTGTTCAATAGACCCTTTGCGAAGCTCGGGCCTTGTGCTTCCTTGCTTGTCAGACTTTAGCGTTTAGGGTTTAGGGTTTAGGGTTTAGGGGCTGTGTATTGCACATGTTGGCAGAATGCTGCGTGTTCTGTGGTTTGAGGTCCGCGCAGCCTAGATATGGACTGCCAGGCGCCAGTTTCATTTGGGTGTTGTCAGCCGCGAGCAATGTGTACCGAATAGCAACAAAAAGGAAGTGCAATACAACAGATGGCTTTGACATGCGCAGGTGTTGGCTTTGCAAGGTGAAAAAGTGTTGTTGAATGCCAAGTAACACAAGCCTTGCTCGTAATTTTTCCATGCGAATGCGACTGTTGTTGATGTCAGAGACATAAGCTGTTGCTGCAGACCATGCTTGGCCATGCCCGGAGTTGCGGCTGGGTACGGCAGTGATGACGAAGGTCCAGCACCCGTTCCTTATGGGTACGGCGCGTTGCCTGGAGATCGTCACCCACGCAAACGTACAGCGGCCGAGATTCAGCAGTATGGCATCCAACAAAATTCGAGCGGCCATGTGCGTTCCCGACTTGGAGTTGAGCTTCAATTGCGGCCTACCCTTGCAGAGACACGTCCTCGTCCAAGTCTGCAGTATCACAAGGCCTTACTGGAGCTTGTTCAAAAAGCAAAAGTGAATGTGATGAAGTCCGACTATGATATCCTCAGGGAAAACCACCGTTTTCTTCGTAGCGATGAAGCTGACGACAAATCTTGGGAGTCAAGACTTGCCCGCAGGTACTACGATCGTCTTTTCAAAGAGTATGTCATTTGCGACTTGTCCGGGTATCGCAACGGTCAGGTGGGCTTCCGTTGGCGCACAGAGGCGGAGGTGTTGCATGGCCGAGGGCAGTTTAGCTGTGGTCACAAGCATTGTTCGTCAAAGGACGGGTTGAGAAGCTACGAGGTGGATTTCAAATATGTGGAGGAATGCAGCAAGCGCGCGTTGGTGAAGGTTCGTTTGTGTCAGGATTGTGCCTTCAAGCTGCACTACCAACGGCTCAAGAAAGCACGGAAGCAGCGGCGAAGAGCGGGGCAGTCGGGTCAGAAGGGAGGAAGTCAAGACGATGCCGATCTGCAAGATGCACATGTTTCGGAGAATGGAACTGAAGTTGCAGAGGTTGCAGAGGTTGCTGAGGCGTCAGTCCCAACAGCCCCAACACCCTCGACAGCCGCAACAGCTACAGCTTCAGACCTTCGACTCCTCGAGGCTCTGGCATGGCAAGGCCCTGATCCCAACATTCGGAGCCGGGAGGATGACATCGACGACTTCCTTCGAGACTTGTTTCCGTGAGACTTCTGAGACTTCTGAGACTTCAGCGCGTTTCAGCCCACACTGTGAGGAAATTGACACTTGCCTGCTTCTCGCAAGAACACCCCGATGTGGCCAGCCCTTGTTGCTCCAGAACAGAACGTGAAACTAAGCCACACTAAGCCTGAAGATGTAGCCAACAGCCCCAGATGCAGACTTCCCCCTGCCGCAGGAGGCAAGGCCCAGCGTGTCGGGGCCTCGGACTTTGCTAGGGGCCATGCATCTCTGGTTCGATATGCCCCATACGTCATGCTGTCGTTGTATTCGTAGCTTTCGCACTTTGCGACTTGGTTTCGAGGGTTTCGGGATTCAGCTTCTTGGCGGGGCATAGTGGAAGCGCCGTTGAACAGCTTTGTCCCCTACACTCAAACCCAAGCCCAGCAGTTGCTGGATGCTCCATTTTGCAGGTACCAGGGACTCGCACATGCGCATCCAAATGGCTGTTTCAGGCTTCCTTTTCTTTTCGAGCCCCGTCCAGCGAGATTAGATTTACGATCAAAGCTCGACCTTCAGAACTTGTTCAGTTCTGCAACTTTGACAATGTGGAAACATTGGGCTCATTGGCATTCTGTGGACTGCACACTGCACCACTTGCAAAAAAGCCTTGTGCCATTGCCATTGCCCTCGCCAACTCGGAAGGGACCACACGCGAGCCCCGAAGCCTCAAGACCATGGTGGGAGCTTCCGCAGCTTCGCACTTCTGAAGTTTCTAAAGGCTGCGCGACCAGCCCAGGAGGGGGTCCTCGGTTCTTTGGCTCTGGCTCTACCACTGCTGTATCTGCACACATCCGCATACCTTTATGTTTCGTTGTTTTAGCACCGTGAGTTGCCATTGTGGAAGTGGCAGCGATTGAGACAGTGCAAGTACCAGTGGCATGTCCGGTTCGCTGGGAGCCCACGTGTTTTGCCACCGAGATCGGGGCGGCGCGGCAGGCATGGCATGGCACATGCCAGGGGATCTGACCACATGTGCTTATGGCGTGAGCGGGCGAACGGCTAGTTAATTGAAATACGCTCTGTATGAACCAAGCATCTGCTTGTCCTTCAGGATACAGAGAATGACGGGGCCGTGGAGTCAGAGCCTCTGCCACCTCTACCAGAGGCCAGTCTTTCAGGTAGCTAAAAGGCATCTTAGTTGAGTTCTTCGAGTTCTTTGATTTCTGAATTGCACGCACAAACTCTCTTCAGATTCGCGCACTTGTGATGGAGAGGTACTTCCGAATGCGATGCTGGGAACTCGGACTGGGAAGAGCTAAGCGGGCATATGGTGCCCAATTGTTGGATTCGAGGATGTATAGGATGTCATGCAAACAGCAGAAGTGCTCGTGTTTTCATGCCTAAGCCCCGAGGCTCAACCCAGCGCCGGGGGCCCGTCCAGGTGCCATCCACTCCAAGCAGCTGGGACAGGCTGGAGCGTACATGTTCTGGGCATAGGTACGGTCTGCAAGTTTTAGGGTGACAGTTGTGCTATCGCAGAGGCGCTGGCGCATGCACTGGCGCAGAAGAACGCTGAGAAGGTGTCACGATCCACCTGCACACTGGCCCGAAGTTCAACTTCCTGCCGACCTTTTCTTGTAGCATGTTTAAGCATGAGGCACGGAGAGTCGGCAGTTGAAGGTCATGTTCTGAGGACATGAGAGGACATGATGCTGTTTGCAATGTAGGAGCGGCAGAAGAAGGGTCTGGGTGCCCTGGGTACGGCGCCCCTGCAGCCCGTCGCAGCACATTCGTGTCTTTGCTTTTAAGCTGTGAGAGATGAAGGTTCGTGGGTTTTTTCTCCAACGCAACGTCAGTCAGCACCGTCAGTAATCATTTGATTCCTTTGTGGGCTATGGCTGTGTTATTGCACTCTGGATATTTAAAATGGATGGCTCCAATCTCATCTTCATCCAAAATGAACCACAAGAGCACCGGCAAGGATGGAAAGTTTGCGCTCGTAGATAGGTACGTCGAGCTTTTTGGAAGACAACTTTCTTTTTTCATCGAGCCGGGTAAGGAGCCATGCAAAGTTTTTGACATCCATGGTTTTTGTCAATGGAGTGGGCACGAATACGGACTAGAGCTCAAAACTAATAAAGGTTCAGCTATATGGGCTGTATGTGATCGACCTAGTTTAGCTACAAGAGGTAAGATGCCGCAAGATAGTTCTAAGGAAGGACGAACCACCCAAGACAAGCACCGCTTCAACCAGATCGCTTATGCATGGGCATGGGCCTGAGAACAGATGGCCAGAAAGCCTTTGGATAGCTGTGCATAGGCAACCATAGGCATGCAGCATTTGAGGAAGACCCCCGTCGTGGTGCCGCCACGTGTGCGAGATGTACCGAAGCAGCCCGAGCTCGTGTCTCCCAAGGATGGCGGCACGTTGTAACCTTTAGTGCCTTCGGCGCTGTAGGCATGCAGCATCCCGCCGACAGTCGTAGTTGTCTTAGGACGGCAACATAACGGCAACTGAAACACCGCGACTTTTGAATTTTGCATGTTGTGCGTTCTTCGACAAGTTTTTCTTTGAGAACGCGACGTGGAGTGGCGTTTTGAGCAGGCGGGGCACTCGGCAGCCGTGAGGCCGCCGAACGTCAACGTCCAGGCGGGGCCCTGGGCTGTGCCAGTGGTTGAGGGCTCAGGGTTTCTAGCTTTTGCAATGAAACGCAAGGTTTCAGGGTTTTGTGGTTTACGGTGAGAGCTTCGGCGGTTAGCGCCCTTCAGATCTGAGTTCAAGAGCTTGGCAGTGTTCATGTAACTGCCTGTCTTTGCTTGAATCTCCAGAGCAGTTTTGGCCCTGACTAAATCCGGTTTTACGGCCGCAGCTTTCCGTGCCCCACCATGGCAGTGTGGCAGGCCTCAGTATTGCAGGTTCTGCACACATACAAGCATATTCATGATGTCTTGCAGTGCCACTGACAGGCGCAGATGAAGCAAGACTGGCAGGGCGGTGGCGGGAAGGCCTTTAGAGACAGACAAAAATAGCGCAGCACACCTTTCACGCGTGCTCTGTTGCACAGGGCTGGGGGTTTGGCGGCAAGAGCCCCATGTGTCCCGGCCAGAATCGACAAAGTTCGCTCTTGCTCCACACAATGTCGTGCTGTGGAAGTCTGCAGCGCGGATTGAGTCGATCTCCGAGGGCCATGATGGCGGCCATGATGAAAGGTCGCTTTCCTAGACTCTTAGATTCTTATCTCGGCAAGCAGTGTGCAAGTAGGGGACGTGAGGCCGACATAGTCGATGGCTGCGCTACGTCACTACATGCAGTTGCCCATCACTTGTCCCCCTGAGGCATGAAAGGCAAGGGAAAGGGCAAGAACCCAAACCGTGGCAAAGGCCATACCTTGCCCAGAGTTCATCACTCAGTGGCTGCAAACATGTGCTGCCAAAAGTGTCCAGTTGCGCGGTGGATGTCTGGAATTAAACGGTCGTGTGGATGCCTCAGGAGAGAATTTCTGAGACGCCGATGATCGGAGAGGTGCTCGAGTGGAAGGGCAAGCATCTGAGCCCCAATTAAATGCGTGAGCTGCGTGAGTGGTAAGCCATGCTACCAGTGACATCGAAAGCTCAACATCTTGTGGGTCTAAGAAGCATATGCCCAGCACGACAAGCAGATGGCTTCATCCGAGGTATGGGTGGCTCAAGCCGCAGGAACCTATCCAGCACGAGAAGGACTGCATGCTCTGTGGGATGTCAGCCCTGATGTTTGTCGAGAATATCCTAGAGAGCACGCACGCCCTGATGTTTGTCGAGAATATCCTAGACAGAGAGCACGCACAGGATCTTCGTAGAGTTGGCTGTTTCTTTACCTTGTGAAACATCCGGCCATCATCCGTCATGTTCGGAGTGAGTCGCTCCCCATACGCAGGTTTGTGGGGTCGACGGTTGTTGAGACCTAGGTTTCTCTGGCCAGCTCTGCGTTTCTCTTGCACGAAGGCATCCATGCATGGCGGCAAGATCTTTGCCAGCGTCGTGCCCTGCCCGCAGATTGCCGCTGGGAGCTTTTTTTTGGGAACCCATTCCCACAATCCACAGATATCCGCAGCACATGCACGGCACAACACCAGCACAACACTTCTCTTGAGTGCTCAGGCCGACCTTGTCGGTGTGACAGAGCTGACGGTTGGGCGGCTCGTCCAGTTCCATTTGCACCTCGGCCCAAGCTCGAACACTTGCAGCTTCTTGACGAGTTGGAGTGCCAGGTGTGCAGGCAGATGCTCTTCGTGAGCTCAGGTTTACGGATTCTTCCGGCCTGGGTGCGGAAGAGATCTTGCAAGCGTGATGCGGTTGATGCCGGCACAAGCCCTGTCCTGTCGAATTGCGGCTCATATGGAGCTGTAGATAGCGCAAGGAATGCAAAGGAGGAAGGTACGCTCCATTGTATGACACTTATAGACGGATTATAAATAGTATAATTACAATCACAAGAGGCCTGGACGTAGGCCTCGGCCCAAGGAAAACGCAACGAGATGTGCTGTGACGCACAAATCAGGCAAGAACTCGCCAAAAAAAGTGCAGAGACGGGGGCAAGCTTTTGGTTCATCCTCAAGCCCGCTGAAGCTTGGATTTTCGGAGTGACGAGCAGCTCAAGCTTTTCTCAGAATGTGGGTGTGAGGTCTACATTGTGCAATTGTTTCGCGAAAGAGCGATGTTGAGCAAGGTTTAGGGTTTGGGTGTTTGGTCCGGGCGTAGGACATGTAGTGCCCGTAGACTGTGGGTGGAGGAGGATGTGGTCTGAGCTTCGAAAGTTAGGCTTGCAAGGCAGGGTTACCGAAGCCTCCGTGGACAGGTTCACATGCAGGTCGGGGTTCCGCAGACGATCCCCCCGAAGGCTGGCAGGCGCCGATTGGCAGCCCCCAATCCGCCATTTCGGTCGGCTAAAAGCATGGGCTAACTTGCAGGAGCTGGCGAATTGACATGCAATTTCTACATAATATTTGAGGAGACATTTGCACTGGTGTGTTGCGATGCCTTGGGGGATTTCGGTGCGCAATCCCGGGAAACTCGTCTCCAACATGTCCGGAGTGAGAAGCAACGGACTCACTACAAACTCCCTGGACGTGCCAGTCCGGCGCTGGTAACGGGACCCATCCCACGCTCTGCCAAGGCTCTGCTGGGGCTTGAGTGATGGTTGTGGGGTGGCAGACAGAACTTCGTTGGAAGCCTGAAAATGCTGAGGTTGAGGATGTTCGCATTCGAAGGTTGGGGCTGAGAGTTTCTCTGCGCTACAGGGCATCCGCATCCCTATTTGTTGCAATCGGGTATTTGTTTGGTGCAGCAGCTGGTGTCTCCTTTAATATTTAGAAAGGCCTAAGTCAACAGCTCAAATTTACGTGAATCATGGTATGGAAGTATGAAGCATGTCTCATTTCGCATCCGGGAACTTCAGTCAACACACATACGTCATCATATGTCTGTAGTGACTGCTTTCACGACTCTGAGTGGTCCGGCTCTTTCAGAGGCAGGACATCAATATGCCAATAAGTTCCCTACTTGCAGCTGGCAGGCGTACGCGGAGGCAACAACTGCTGAGGCGTTAGCAGTAGCGGCAGTGCCTTGCATGCAGAAGTCCATACAGCAAGCTACTTGTACATGTTTGTTTTGTTGGGCAGTGGTGGAGTGGTGGAATGTCGTGGAATGGCGACTTGCGACACATGCGATGGTGCGAGTACTTATGAGGCGTACAGAGATGCAGCTGGTGCAGCTCCGGCACTAGGGGCGGTGGCGTGGATGCACTCCATTGCAAAGGAAGGGTCACGACCTAGATGTGGCGACTTTTGATTCTGATTCGTTCTAAGAGAGGTAGTGTACGAGTTGAACAACTTTTTTAGTGACGCTGTGATGCCCTACTGCAACTGCAAGGCATACACAGACGCAGCCACCGCTGAAGCATTGGCAGCAGCACCTTGCACGCAAAGGGCTCTTTCTTCCCTCGCACGTAGGACAGTGGTTCATCAGTTGCTGGCATCTCCTACTATGACGTTGGCCCGCATACTTCTTCAAGTCAAACGAGGCATACAGGGACGCAGCTGCAGCGAACGCAGCTCCGGCGTTAGCAGTGGCATGGATGCACAGCAAACGGTGTAACGAAAACCAGTGGAGTGTAACGGAAACCATGGGTGAAAAGCCGTAATGGACCCTGCGGAGAATCGTAACATAAGCCAACTGGGACAGGTGACCAAAACCAAAGGGGGGCGGAACAGAGGGGTGCAACATTAGGCTTAGGCTTTGGGCTTCAGGCTTTATGAGGGTTTAGTGTTCAGGGATCTTGGTTTTGAAAAGTAGAACCCGTGTTCGGTTTTGCCGTGCAGGCGCCCGCTGGTTTTATGTAAGTGTGTGTGTCGAAGCCCACCCATGTGTTTTGGCCCGGCAGTCGGCCACCGTGATTGTGTAGCTGAGAGGGCGGAATTGAGTGAGTGAATCCCGGGCAGGCGACGGCGCAGCAAAAAAATAACGCACCCTGGGCGGAAAGAAGTGCACCCCGAACCGAGTAACGGGGCCCGCGACTGCGCAGCAAAGGCAAACGCCCCGTGGTGAAAGAACCCTCCGGGCCCGTGAAGCACAGCCCCTGACACCGCACCTAAACCCTTATCCCTCAACTTTTGAGTGTACAAATGCAAGAATTCACTAATGTAAGAATGGAAGAAATGATCAAAGTAAAAATACTATGGACGCGAAACGCATGCGAAACGCACGCGAAACGTGCGCGAAACACCAGGAGACGCGCGCGGGTGCACAGACGCCGTTCTTCGAGCGCTGGGCATATTGTGGACGGAAATCGTACTTATACCACAGTGCGGGTGGCTCCCTGACTTCTGGGGGCCTCGAACATCGCAAGTTACATGCTTTCGGCTTCGTGACGCTTCGTGGATCTTGTCGAATCGCACTCTCGCCTTGAGCTTCGTGTTTATGGGTGGATCCCGTGCGTTTTCGTGGCTACGCGACCCGACAACGTGGCAAGTTTTTGGGCCGTTGGATGGGTTCGCTGCATGCGTCCAGCCTAAGGGGTTAAGCAAGTCCCGATGTTGGAAAACCTGCTCCCGCTGAGGCGCCGTGCGCATCGACATCGCCATCCTCGCAACTGTCGTCGCTTTTGGATGCCGGGGTTCGCGAAATGCGAAACTGTCGTCGCGTTTTGACGTGGGGGTTCGCAACCAGGTGCTTTTGGTGCTTTTGGAGGACATCCGGAGCTCTGGTACTCGAAAGTCGATTTTCGTAGTACAAGCATAGTACGCGTGGAGCTCCAGTGGCATAAGATCGTGCTTTCGTGACCCATGAAGCTCTTCGTGACCCCACGTGGTCTTTCACTGTTTGGGATATCTACCCTGATCATGTTGGTTTCCGGTACAGGTTTCGCTGGTTTCCATTGCGCCCGCGTCTCGTTTTCCCTACATTATTTCCTTGGTTTTTGTTAAGGTTTCGGGCCTGGCTTTCGTTGCACCCTGTTTGGTTTCCGTCACCGTGAACCTGGATGCACAGGGGTCGGGCCGCCATCTCTGGTAGCTGTAGACTGTAGAAGCCGTGCGACTCAAGTTCAAGGGCGGGTGCTGTCAGCATGCTGAGGAAGCTTGTCCATGGTTTGATGTGGCAGTGCTTGAAGGGTTTGGGCAAGATTCGGCAAGATAGCCACAAAGATACGTTGGCAGAAGAATTGCACACTTGTGCCCTGTGGCTGCAGCTGTCAGGCATACACAGAAGCGGCTGCAGCCGAGGCACTAGCAGCAGTGCCTTGTTTTCAGTTTGGACGTACACGAAGTGCTCAGAGTCCATGTCCGCGTTCTGACGCAGTGACCTGCTGTGTGTGACATTGTGAGGCATACAGGGACTCGGCAGCAAATGCAGCTCCGGCATTAATGGTACGGATGCAGCAAAGTGGATCAAAGGGGCATTTCTCGGCCTTGGAAGTTTTCGTTTCAGTGTTTGGGAGCTTCACACTGTAGTCACACGACTTCTGCTCGCACTGGTTGGCCGAGACCGGCCGCAGATCACCTTGCGTTTGAAAAAGAAGATGCCTGCACAAGCTGGAGGAATGCCAATAGGCTCGCCAGAGTTTGCGGTACACCTATGACGCCATGGTAATTCCGAGCACATATTCACCCTGCACCAGATCGGGGCATTCACGTTTTGCATCCCAATGGGAAAATGCGCAGCGAGGGTTCTCGTTTTGCTCGTTCGGGGCGCCTGGGAGCGCCAACCAGCTGTAATCGTCTGCAACAGTTTCCCCACTTGCAACCATGCACCGTTACTAGGTGCATCGTGGCTCATCTGGGCGTGAAGCACTGCCGTCCTGCCTTTGCGCCTCGTGTCTTCGATTGTCCTCATGCCTTGTCTCGAGTGTGTGTGTGTGTGTGTGTGTGCGCGCGCGTGCGTGGCGTGTTGTGTCTCATATCTCGTGCCATGCCTCGTCTTGATGTCCTGGTATCGTATCGTCTCAGTGGCCTTCTGCCGTGTTTCGTGTATTCGTATCGTGTCTCCATTGTGTAGCCACAGATGCCATTCAGGATCCAAACCGGGGGTGTCGTCTGCAAGGCTTCTAGCACCTCTTGTGGAACCAGCGACGTGCAGTTTGTTTTCGTGGGCACCTTGCATGTTCAGTTGGTGATCGCTCGGTGTACCTACACTGTGTAAGGTATACACGGAGGCAGCCGCGGCTGAGGCATTAGCAGCAGTGCCTCGCATGCGACAAAAGTGTACAGAGAGCTCATGCACTCATGCCTCATAGAACTTTGATGAGATTGTTCGTTGTTCGCAGATCACCGCACAAAGATTCAAGTGAGTCCGTCAATACAGGACAGCCGTGGAGTGAGCCAGAGCTCGTGCAGTCACCTGAGGCATACAAAGATGCTGCTGTATCTGGTGCAGCTCCGTCGCTAGCAGTTGCGTGGATGCATGACAGTAAGTTTTGGTGGCTTTTTGCATGAGGTGTTTGGAGTTTTACCCGAAAGCTGCCCGTGCTTGATACATGCAGCATCCGCAGAGATGTTGCATGTTCCCCTACAAGGAACCGTTCGGGGTCCTCTCCTCAGAAGAAAAGTGTCACGCGCTTGGCTAGATTAGTGTCACGCGTTGGGTCCGTGGTCTCCCATGGTCTCCGAACGTGCGTGCAAATGGGGCCGGGTGGGGGTCACACGATTTGGGTCCGTGGTCTCCACTGGTCTCCGATCATGAGCGAGCCGGGTGGGCTCGGATCATGAGCGAGGGCAAGGGCGTCATGCGCTTGGATCTGTGGTCGACAGGGGCTGGGGGGTGGTTATGCGGTCTCCCTTGGTCTCCGATCATGAGCGGGTGGGTAGTGGGTATGCGGTTTGGGTACTTGGTCTCCGTCCGCTGTCTCGATCATGAGCGACAGTGGTTGGGAGGTCCGTGAGTCGCATGGTCTCCGATCATGAACACAATGGCCCCCGGTCATAAGCGACAGGGATGGAGGGTGTCATGCACTTGGGTCCGGCTGGGATTGTGTCGTGCCCTTGCTTCCGTGGTCTCCCGTGTCTCCGACAGCGCAACGGGGCCGGGTGGGACGCAGTTGGGTTCGTGAGGGTGGCGCGATGGGTTTAGGGTAACCCCAACCGCCAGTTGAGTTTTATGTCGCGTTGTTGTTTCACGCCGTTTTCCCTTTCTCAACAAGCTTACTGTTTGGGGTCTTCGCCGGCGCAATTAGTCACCTATGGTTTCCCTGGTGAAGAGGTTCTCATGATCTGCCAGGCATACGGTGACACAGCCACTGCCGAGGCACTAGCCGCAGTGTCTTGTTTTGCATGGAAAAGCTTTGTTCCCGTGGAAAAACCGAGCGCTTCCACAGCATTTGTTGCTTGGAAGTAGAGTATTTGGCTTGATCAGGGCACAGCGTCGGAGTGCTTGCAGCGATGAGGCATACAGGGACGCAGCTGCAGCAAATGCAGCTCCTCCCATTCCTCCCATATCATCAGCGGCTTGGATGCAGAAGCTTTTTGTTTGAATCTTGCTGTTTACGGTGTTCAAATACAAGGGCTTGTGTATACTTCTGTACTCGCGTGTTCCATCTGCACGCACGAGCTTTTCAGAGAAGCAGCGGGAAACATGCTTCGGACAGAAGACTCCCATTCATGCTGTGATAGTGGTCTGAAAGTGACCAACCCTGTACTGTAGTGATTCGATGTGATTCGCATATTTTTTGGCCGCACTGTGCATGATTGGTGTTGCTTGGTAGGGTTCTGTACTTTCTGAAAGGTATTGCAGATGTCTTGTCGGTGCACTCCACACATGTAATCTGTCAAATCTTGCAGGTTGCTTTCATGTCGGGGTGTGAGGTTTCTTCCAACATCGAAGTCTATGTTTTGTAGGCTTGAGGGGAGCGCCGCGCTGAATTCGTGACACCCTGCCGAATCTTATCAAGATTCAAGATAGGTCTCGCTGTCCTCACTCGGTCTTGTTTTAAAGTTCTGGCCGGCTCGGGCTGCTGTTTCGCAGTGAAGCGAAGATCTGGTGAACGGCTGTGCTCTAGCACAGGGAGTGTTGTCAAGACAAGCCACAACGTGCCTGTTGCAACTGCAAGGCATATCCAGGCGCGACCGCGACTGAGGCATTAGTAGTGCTTTGTTTGCAATGAGCCTCTCGTTTAGACCTTTTTGAGTCCGAGCACTGGACGCCGTTTTAGTTCCTCTTGCTGTTCCTTGACCCCCCCACTTTCTTTGCAGTGTTCTGGTGGAGTAGAGTGAGAAATGGCAGCCGAAGTAATCTACAGAAGTTCGGGGGACAAAGGCTATGTTGTAAAAAGTTGTAGCCGCTCTCGAGGCATACGGTGACGCCGCAAGCACAGCCCCAGCAGCTTCGGATGCACGAGGGGGCGTTCGTATCAACATACTGCTCTAAGCGTACCCTCCGTTTGCACGCAATTGGGCTTGGACGGTTCTTAAGAGAGGCTGCATAGCGGACATTCACTTGCCACGTTACGACTGCAAGGCTTTCACAGACGCGGCCATGACGGAGGCACTAGCAGCAGTGTCTTGCTTGCAGAGGATGTCTCCGTTGAGAGAAGGTTGAGCCATGTTGAACTGAACATGTTACATTGCTTACTGCTTGCAGCTGTCTTGGATACTGGCTACCGGCGGGTTTCGTCTGTCAAACGGGGGGTGATTTGACCTATACATGAGGCCTACAAGGATGCGGCTGCAGCAAACGCAGCTCCGGCAACAGTTGCGGGGATGCACAAGGGTGTTCCGATGATTGTGACGTATTACCAGGGTTGGCACAGGCCTTTTCTTTTCGATATCGACAGCAGAGATGCAGCCAAAGAGCAGTGGCAGTATGCAGAGAGGTTCAGTAGGGTTTGTAGTTGGCTCTTTCTGCTCCTCTGCTCTTTCTGCCTCCCTCTGTTTGCACGTAAGCGAAAGCATGCGAAGAATCTAATGAGTTGTGATTCTGCTGGCTGACTTAAGAACGGTTCTTAAGGGCATGCGCCTAATCCGTTGCAGCAAGGCTTACACAGATGCAGCTATGACGGAGGCACTAGCAGCAGTGTCTTGCAAGCAGAGATGCAGAGTTGAGCCAGGCGTGTCTCTCGATTCTGGGTCAACTGATTTCTGAGGACTCAGTTTAGGTGTTGGAGTATGCTTTGTTCATCACTATGACTCGGTGCCTAGTGGCGGAATGTTGACATTCCCTTCCGACCTTTTTTGATTGCTTCAGTGGCTCAACAGAAGCATGGCATGTCTGAAAAACTGGCGAGTCGGCCCCTTTCCTTACTGCGATACCACTGTCATGACTCAAGGGCGCTAAATGGCGACGGAATGCATAGACACAAGTTCACGTCACTGTTGCCACATGAACACATGCATCCTGGCCTGCACATGACTTCACAGGATGTGTCACAAGTACAGCTAAGGCGGTGGCAGCAGTGACCCAGTTGCACAATGTTGCAGATGGAACTGATTTAATGGCCGGGAGTTTTTTACTGTGTGGTATGGCTAGTTGTGAAAGCGAGGGTCACGCAGCGCTTCTGATGTATCTGCCCGCTGGCTGCAGTTGTAAGGCATATGCGGATGCAGCTGCGACGAGCACGGCTGAGGCACTGGCAGCCGTATCTTGGATGCATGAAGTCTGCGAAACGATCTGGCCAAGCATGGCGAGAGGAGAACGGCGGTTTTGTATTGGAACTTGCGGGGTGCCACGGAGGCATACAAGGATGCAGCTGCTGCGAACGCAGCTCCAGCGTTAACTGCAGCTCCTGGAAGAGAGGCGGGACCAGAAATGTAACATTGCTTTGTCGGCATCTGAAGGGTCGCATGTGCAATTCCGTGAATTTCCGTGCAACTCCTACAGCGGCAAGGAAGATGTTGCAAAGTTGCTTGGTCAAGTTAGGTGGCCTTGGCGGCACTCACAGACACGCTTATTCCTGCTGCGGGGAGTGGAGCGCCAACCACAGCAACTGCGATGCAAGATGTTGCTGGGTTGATGCATCGCGAAGATCCAAAGAAACATGGTAGGGCGAGGAAACCGAGCAGTGTCTGAACATCACATTTGTCAGTGCATGCTGCAATGGATACATTTGCATATGTTTGTTGCCGTCCCCCCCCCCCCAACCCGTCAGTTAGAGCAGGCTTATCGAACGAATAGACGAGATAGAGCGCTGAACGATGTTGAGAAAAGCCGACAAGACAACGGGCCAACGGTTTTGTGGCTGCTTTGTGCTGCTTTCAGAGTATACTCCGGTACACGTTACACGCTTGGCGGTCCAGTCATGGCACGTTACGGATTCCGGGTGGGCCGGGGTGCTGGGTGTGTGGCATGCCTGCGGTTTTGAAGTGACTCGTAGTTGCAGACATCTGACACGCGTAGAGATCGTCGTGACCATGCGTTGTATTAACTGAGGGGGCCCCATGGCGGTTGCAGAAGGACAGTGGTTCAATTGTTCAAGTCTTGCTTCATCACGGGGGAATGCTTCTTGATAAGCGGATTCCAGTCCAAGTTCTCGAGAATGCGAGGAATATTGGCCAAGAAAGCTAAGCTGGTTCCACGTAGTCCACTTAGCTTGTATTGGCAATTGTGAAGACAGTCACGACACAACGAGCACAGAGGAACACAGGGCGCGCCCTGTGCATTGGCGATGATTTTGCTAGCTATTGAAGAATGTCGACAGGTTGCTTTAACAGTCTTGTCATGTGCGCCAGCAAGAGTCTGAGCCGCAAGAAACGCTTCCACTGCAGGAGACTGGACACGGAGCTAGCACCCCTGCGCCGGCGACCTCTGCGCCGGCGACCTCTGTGCCGGTGACCTGTGCACCGATACCTACTACGCCACCTACGACGCCACCGAACTCTGCAACGGTTCCTCCCGTACTCATGCAGGCTTGTGGCGGTTGTCCAATGGTTTTTTCCCCATTATCTTATATCATAGCACCTTACTGTATACCCCCAACACAGACTCCAAGAACATGCAAATCCAGCTTTAATTTTCACCAGCATAGAGGTTGTGTGGACAGGAGGTTGTACTGCCGGTCCTGTCATGAGGTCAAAACACATGCTCTCCTTCCCATGCCCGTTCAGGGGTCTTCGGTTGTCACCGAGGAGAACGTGCTTAGTACAAAGTCGGAGGAACAAGAGCAGTTAATGTCCCAGGATCTTGAAGAATGGGTTGAAAGCAGAAGGCTGAACTGGACTCGGGAGCTTCGCTGAAACTCCATCTTATAGGAGTTCTCTGAGAAGCCTGAAGGATTCCGCAGTTCATCACGCTGTGTTTCGGTTGTAGTACTCCTTCCTGACCCAACCTCTCATTCTCCGAGCCCGAACCGTCTCAACAGTGAACAGCTGAAGTGCCAAGCTAACCAAATTGCCGACTGCCGACGATTGCCAATGTGTCCAGGACTTTGAGCACCTCAACGGTCCCTCAATCCAAAGTTTTCTGGTTGCCCTATTCCAAACTCGGAACAACTCTTTGTGAGGAGGACGAAGCCCAGCCGAGAAAAGGCCGGGACTTGTGACGGCCATGTCAGGGATGGATCTAGGTCGGGATTTTTTTTTTTTTTGGGGGGGTTTTTCTCTGGTGCGAGAGATTTATTTCAAGGAAAAATATTCATGGGGGCCCTCAACTTCGAGTCCCAACGCTGGGTTAAACGAGTTTGAGGCATGCGTGCTGGAGTCGGAGTGAGATGTTTCTCTGCCCTAAAACTCGGCCAGTGATGCCTCGTGGCAGGTTTAAGGTCTAGAGCTTTAGGGGGGGGGGGGAGGAAGTGCCACAGGCGAAACTCCCAACTTTCCTCCCCGTCTACATCAATAGCCATCCAGATTGCATGTTGTGGTGCAACACCCATTCCATTTCTACGTACATGCTCTGTTGTGGGTCAAAAGCCAGTTGAATTTCATCCTGATTGTTGTGGGGTAGTACCCGTCCACATTTTATGACTGTTGCAGTGGGCCTGGTCAGATTACTGCCATGAATTGTATTGTTATTGTTGTTGGGCAAAGCCCACCCATGTTGTTTCACTGTTGTTGTGGGCCGAGTCAATACCAGCCAAGTTCATGTTAATTGCCCATGAAGGGTAATAATTATTTGGCTCAAAGGGCTGTGGGGCCTCAGGGTTAATATAGACCAGAAGCGTGAGTGCACCTCTAAGAATGGGAGACTTTAGTCTTAAGCCTTTGCTAGCACACTAGCTGTCAAGAATCTTAAACTTGCAGCCCGAAAATCAAGCAAGAAGCCAGCGCTTGAAAAGATAGTTTCAACAATGCAAAAGGATTCACTACCTGGCATCCGAATCAGCTAAATGCAGAGCCCGCATTCAGAGTTTTGAGTTTTAGCTTACAAAAACAGACGACCCAACCTATGATAACAAAAGCGGAGAGTTTGACGAAGGGCTTCAACAACACAAAAAGAGAGAGCGACATAAACCAGTGACAAACAACCGCTGATAATAGCCGAAGAGAGAATATGCAAAGGAAGCTACTACACCCCAAGATTAAGTGTAAACAGTAAAGAGCACATTCGATTTAGCACCTGAATCAGCCAAACACGGCCTTAAGATAACGGAAGTTGAGTAGGAGTATTGGACGTCATAGAGAAGGCTTTACTACCAAAATTGCTTTGGCTTTCAAACGCCTGGCTCCTTGTCTGTGTCCTGGCTCCTTGTCTGTGTCCCTACCACCCCCTGGCTCCTGCCAGTTTAAGCTACCTGAAAGCCCGCCTCAAGCGCACGTTTGGCCAGGTCTTGGGCGGGCGGTTCCTGCTGAGGCGCCCCAGGCCAGGGACCGAAGGAGATCAACAGACATGAAAAGAGAGCGGTATGAGGCCTCGTATGGATTCGTATGGCTTAACCTGCAGAATTTGTTTAGGTTCTTGAAACATCGGATTTTGCCCCAGGCCACGCGTTCCGGGAGGGTCCCGTCGCAGTCGAGAGTGACTGAGGAGACGAAGGAGACGAAGGCATCTTCCTCTGTCAGGTCAGTGCATCCTGCAATGGACAGTGCTGGAGCCCGGGGAAGCTCGGGGGTGAATCCTCCGGCATCCTTTTTGCTAAAGATCGCTTTTCGGCCGCTGAGGCGCCCATGTGCGCGATACGGGGCAGTAAAGGGGATTATTCCCGGGCCTGCAGGCTGTCAAAACCAAGCCGGCCGCGCCTCCCGTCCCCGCCTCGGCACAGTTTGCCAGGGGCTCCAGGTGCAAAAAGCGTGAAAGGCTGGGCTCGCGGGTCCGGAACAGAGCTGATGAACAAGTTCTCCAAAACTTGCACCATGTTTTGAATTGGCCCTTAGAGACTTGAGCAAGGTGCGGAAAGAGATTCCGGATGTGGTAGTGCCGACCTCAGGGGGGTAGAGAATCGAGGTGTTTTCTACTTCGCCTAAAGATGAGCCAGCTCGAGATGTTTTCTGAGTCTTGGTCTTTAGTTGCAGACCGCTTTAGTGCACGGAGCACGGGCATCTGCTGTGAGACGTGTTCAGCACAGTGGCAAATCGCGTGCTTGGAGCCTTGCCACGTCTCTCCGCCAGCTTGGATCAGCTTTTGCGCCAGGTCGTGACCTCCACACCAGTGGCCACTGCGCCGGTGGCCAGCTCGGCACAGGCTAAGCCTGAGGCACCTGGGGCGAGTTTTGTTGTGGGTGTGGGCTTTTGCTAGTGGTGGCAGGTCGATAGCAAACCGGCCACTTCGGCCAAAGCAGCGGCCCTACACTTCTGCTCTGCTGGATTGTTGCTGTGCCACATTGGCTGAATAACACCCACACACCCACACCCACCATGGGGCGCTTTGTCAGGTGGTGCGTGCAAGTCCCTGAAAGCATCAGCTCGCAACACCCCACAACTTTCAACCCTGGCGGTCAGGTTCAGAAAGAGCCTGCGGATGTCGTGGCTCCCACCTCAGCTGGTAGCATTTATTGCAGGAGCATTGGCTGAGAATCCTGATTTTTGGAGTTGTTCCTCCAACATAAGCTGGCAGCCATCTCGATGAGGTTGCAGATTGCTTGTCATTCTTGTACAGGCGTACGTGTATAGACTGTACAGTCGTCTTGATGTCAGGTTGCTGCTTCTACCCCCATGCCGTCCCCGGCCAAGCCCGAGGTACACCGTGCGTCGCTTGTGTCTTACAAAGCTCACTTGTTATGTACGTTTTCGTAGATTCTGCCTGCTGTGCGTATTCTCGACTGAAAATCCCAGCGACTTTCATGTCCCACAGGTCATTTTTCGTATGCTTACGACTTCTCGCAGACCCGATAGTACCACGCATCGGCAGTTTCTTACATGACCTGGAACTGGACCCGAGATGTTGTGAGATTGACGCCCCGTGTGCCCGTGAGTGTAGCCAATGCTGAGAACGGTCGTTGTGTTGCTTTTGCTGCCACTGCCAGGTGAGAACCGCACAGCAGGGGACGCACAAGGCCCGAACATTATGCTTTGGGGACCTTTCGGTACTTTGTGCACCTGAATCAGTTGGCCTCACTCACGACCTTGAGGTGAGAGAATTTGGACACAAGCTTAGGCTAGAGCCGTCAGCAAGAATTCAAAAAGTGCATGTGAGCTCTTTAAAGAGTCGCCAGTGGCACATAGTGCGTTTCTGATGTGAGCAAAGGCCGCAGAACAGGATTTAGTACGATTGCGTTTTAAAAGCCAGACCTCCGTACAGTGCAATTCGTTTGAAATGCATGCGCTGTGCATCCTGACATCCCGCCTTGCAGGAGCTGCCGGCTAACGCCGGCACGGTGCCACTGGCTGCGTCGAAGCCAGTGCCAGGCACCGTCGCATCAGTCTTAGACAGTTAGAGGGCCCTAGTTCTTAGTGTTCAAGTTCGAATGGAAGGACTCTACCACAATCGCTGGATCAAAACATGCTTAGATGCGGCTGCTGCAGCTTTTGCAGGCTTCTGTAGGGAGACAGACCCTCTGCCAGGTGAGCATCTGGCCGAGCCCCAGCAGGCCACCAGAACTTGAATGAAGGGAAGTCTTTGTTGTAGGATTTGCTGTAGGATTTGTTTTGGGCTGAGGGGTCGTGCTTCATTTTTTAAGGGCCTCGATGCACTTGTCCTGGCCCTTCGCCGTATCGCGGCGTTGGTGATCAAGAGCCTCGTGCTGGGCGTTCCGTGCCTTCAGGCTCATGCCAAGCGTCCAGGACCAAGAGCCCTGCCACAACCAAAGCCGGTCGCGGAGACGAAGGCAGAACCGTCCCTTTCGCAGCGGCGCCAAATGCTGTGATCGCTTTCTAGCTGGAAGGCTTAGGGCAGCAACAGCACTAGCACTACCACTAGCAACAGCGTTCCCTCTTGCTAGAGACTGGGGTGAATCCTGAGATCGCTTAAGCCGCTTAGGCTGACTTAGGCTCATATCTGCAATTAAAGGGGAAGCGGGCAAGTTCGTGGGCCTGGAGGCTGTCGAAGCCAAGCCGGCAGCGCCTCCCGTCCACGACTCGGCACAGTTTGCCAGGGGATCCAGGTGCAAAAAGCAGCCTTTTTCAGACTCATGAGAAAGCTCCTATGGACCCTTGGCCCCTTGCACCCTGAACGTGACTCTGGGATTCGCAAAACTAATCAAGAGCTCTCCAAGATCTTGGAAGATTTTAGACAACGTGAATTTGAAGCAAAATTCATTCCACTCAATACTAAATCCTGACCTAGTTTTGAATAGTTGAGGCAATGCCCCACACACGCCACTACTAAACTTGATTGGGAGAGATGGTGGGGTTTCCCTAGTTGCTTCTTGTTGCGGAGAAAAGGCGCGGCAAGGCGGGGCATGTACTGTTGGAAGAAGTAAACATTCGGATAGAAATCACGTGAGGCCATTAGTCATGCACCACGGCACATCAGAGGAGTTCAAACCAAGTCAGCTTAGATCAGCTCAGATTGTAGGTACGACAGCATCGCAACACCCCTCAGACAAGCTCAGCTGAGACCAGGTCAGATCAGATTAAGCCCAATCCGTAAAGAAGTCCCGCCTCTAGGCTCTACGCGACCTAGGGGCAGGCCTGGGCTAGGCCCTTCATCAGGGTAGGGGTAGGCCTAGGGTAGGCCTACCCCTACCCTGCGGAAGGGCCTAGGGTAGGCCTGGCCTTGATGTGGGGGTAGGCCTACCCCTAAGCCGACCCCCACCTCTAGGTAGGTCTGACCCTAGGCCTACCCCCAGGGTAGGGGTAGGCCTAGGGTAGCCCTACCCCCACCCTACGGGTAGGCCTAGGGGTAGGGCTACCCTAGGCCTACCCCTAGGGTGGGGGTAGGGCTACCCTAGGCCTACCCCTACCCTGGTGTAGGCCGAGGGGGTTGCCACACCTAGGCAAGGCCTAATCTAGGCCTACCTGTAGGGTAGGGGTAGGCCTACCAGGCCTACCCCTACTAATTTATTAAATAAGTATTAATACATACATAATTAATAAGTAATTAATAATTAATTAATAGCCGTAGTAGTAGTAGTAGTAGTAGTAGTAGTAGTAGTAGTAGTAGTAGTAGTAGTAGTAGTAGTAGTAGTAGTAGTAGTAGTAGTAGTAGTAGTAGTAGTAGTAGTAGTAGTAGTAGTAGTAGTAGTAGCAGTAGTAGTAGTAGTAGTAGTAGTAGTAGTAGTAGTAGTAGTAGTAGTAGTAGTAGTAGTAGTAGTAGTAGTAGTAGTAGTAGTAGTAGTAGTAGTAGTAGTAGTAGTAGTAGTCGTAGTCGTAGTCGTAGTCGTAGTCGTAGTAGTAGTAGTAGTAGTAGTAGTAGTAGTAGTAGTAGTAGTAGTAGTAGTAGTAGTAGTAGTAGTAGTAGTAGTAGTAGTAGTAGTAGTAGTAGTAGTAGTGTAGTAGTAGTAGTAGTAGTAGTAGTAGTAGTAGTAGTAGTAGTAGTAGTAGTAGTAGTAGTAGTAGTAGTAGTAGTAGTAGTAGTAGTAGTAGTAGTAGTAGTAGTTAGTAGTAGTAGTAGTAGTAGTAGTAGTAGTAGTAGTAGTAGTAGTAGTAGTAGTAGTAGTAGTAGTAGTAGTAGTAGTAGTAGTAGTAGTAGTAGTAGTAGTAGTAGTAGTGGTCGTCGTCGTCGTCGATCAAAAAGCGGGGGGGTTGGGGGGGGCGCAGCCCCCCCCATTTGCTCAGATTGCCGTATAGTCCTACACTGTCGGTCTGCTGAAATAGAATGAGTAGAGAAGTAGAGCATTAGTGTAAATTCCAGCCCCCCCCCGTTTCTTTTTTTCTTGTCTTCATTCCTCGAAAATTAGAGAAGCAGAGAATTCATAGAGAATTAGAGTATAATCCAAAAATGACAACAAACACCTTTCTGACGTAATCAAAAAGCGGGGGGGTTGGGGGGGGGGGGGGCCGCCCCCCCCATTTGCTCAGATTGCCCTATGGTCCTACACTGTCGGTCTGCTGGGATAGAATGAGTAGAGAAGTAGAGAATTTGTCTAAATTCCACCCCCCTCGTTTCTTGTTTTTGTTTCTTGTATTCATTCTTCGAACATTTGAGAAGTAGAGAATTGATAGAGAATTAAAGTACAATCCAGATGACAACAAAGTCTTTCGGACGTATCAACCACCCCCTATTTGCTCAGATTGCCCTATAGTCCTACACTGTCGGTTTGCTGAAATAGAATGAGTAGAGAAGTAGAGAATTGTCTAAATTCCACCCCCCTCGTTTCTTGTTTCTATTTCTTGTATTCATTCCTCGAAAATTAGAGAAGTAGAGAACTGATAGAGAATTAGAGTACAATCCAAATGAGAACAAAATCTTTCTGACGTATGAAATAGAATGAGTAGAGAAGTAGAAAAATTCGTCTATATTCCACCCCCCCCCCCGTTTCTTGTTTCTATTTCTTGTATTCATTCCTCGAAAATTAGAGAAGTAGAGAATTGATAGAGAATTAGAGTACAATCCAGATGAGAACAAAATCCTTTCTGACGTAGACAAAGAGCGGGGGGGTTAGACCTACCCCCAGGCTTGGGGTAGGCCTGGGGTAGGCCTACCCCTAGACTAGGGGTAGGCTTACCCCTAGACCTTCCCCCCAGGCTGGGGGTAGGCCTACCCCTAGGCCTACCCCTACCCTAGTGTAGACCCTAGGTATAGGGCTATGCGTACCCTAGCCTAGACCCCTGTCCTAGGCCTACCCCAATCTAGGGTATGGCCTTGGGGGCCTACGCCTACCCTAGCCTGGACCCCTACCCTAGGCCTACCCCTAGGCGAGGGGCCGGGACTTCTATACCGCCCAATCGCATGCACAGTTACATCGCGCTGGGGCTCTGGAGCCAATGTCAACTAACTGTCAGTTTCTTTGACGGAGTCAAAGAAAGGTACTGTTTTTAGGAGAAACGAACGGATTATTCCCGTGTAATATTGTTTATCAATCTGCAATGGATCATGGGACACATGCGATGCATAGAACATGCAAAATGGTTCATTTTGAATACAATCATCAATAAATTTCTTCCCATGATTGCTGCTTCTTGAATCAGCCAAAGAAACTGACAGCTCCAGAGCCCCAGCGTGACATGCTGTCCATCCGATTCGGCTTAATCTCAGCTGACCTGATCTCAGCTGAGCTAATCTGAACGGGCCTGTGTGTCTGAGTAGGGACACACAGAAGGCAAACCCTGCACACACCAAACCCTCAGAGTAGTCAACATTCAAAAGCCCGAAAACCCCTGAGCTTGAAGAAATTCCTTCTACAAGCCCTAAAAACACTCAGGCCCTGACACCCTCGAAGCCCTCAAAACCCGACATCCGAAACCCTATCCTAAACCTAAGCATTTCCAAGACCCGAAGACACGCAAGCAACAAACATTGAAAACTGTTGAAATGTCAACAACAAACTCGCCAAAGAGGCCTTTTCATTTTATTGATTCTTACTTTTTGAAAAATTGCAAGTACCTCAACAGATTGATTTTTTCAAACATGTCAACATTTTCGGTCACCCCTAACCCGCACCAGCGAAAGAGGCCTTTTTCAAATTTAAAAGTGGTTGAGTTTTTTTGGAAAAGCGCTGAAGATCGACGGTTCAAAAACATGTCAAGTTTTCTAAGACTCAGACAGGCAAAAAAAGCTGCTAAGTCGGGGCTTTGTCTTGAGTGGAACGGATACATTCTTAAATGAACGCCAAAGGAGGATCTGTCTGTCAAGTAGAAAAAGAATTGCCTCCTAATATTCGCATGCGTTGCCCGTTGTTCCTGCTTATTCCTGCCTATTCCTGCCTTTTTCTTGTCCTACCCTAGCGAGTTCCGGGCATAAAGGTAGCCGGGTCGACGTTTGGCTTCTTATGTCGACTAGCCAAGGAAGCCTTCCAAGCTACTGGGAAGGAGAGCATGCATGGGGCCAGAGGGATTTTATTGACTAGGATGAAACGCGACGCCGACGACCGTGTTCAATAGCCGTGTCAGACCCGTGTTCGCTAATAGGTGAGGCTGCTGTTTTGTTCTTTACTGTGTGCTCTGATGATGATGCTGTTGATGCCTGTTTCGTGCTTTTGGTGCGTGATAGGGTTTGATGTTAGCAGAGCCAGCACCATGTTTTGAAGCAGCCCTCAGATATTTGAGCAAGGTGCGGAAAGAGATTCCGGATGTGGTAGTGCCGACCTCAGGGGGTAGGGAATCGTGTTCTACTTCCCTTAAAGATGAGCTAGAGACCTTTTCGGAGACCTGTTGCTGTGAGACGTGTTCAACACAGTGGCATATCGCGTGCTTGGAGCCTTGCCACGTCTCTCCGCCAGCTTGGATCAGCTTTTGCGCCAGGTCGTGACCTCCACACCAGTGGCCACTGCGCCGGTGGCCAGCTCGGCACAGGCTAAGCCTGAGGCACCTGGGGCGAGTTTTGTTGGAGGGCGTGTGGGTGTGGGCTTTGCCAGTGGTGGCAGGTCGATAGCAAACCGGCCACTTCGGCCAAAGCAGCGGCCCTACACTTCTGCTCTGCTGGATTGTTGCTGTGCCACATTGGCTGAATAACACCCGCACACCATCACCCACCATGGGGCGCTTTGTCAGGTGGTGCAAGCGGGGTGCTTGCAAGTCCCTGAAAGCATCAGCTTGCAACACCCCACAACTTTCAACCCTGGCGGTTCAGGTTCAGAAAGAGCCCGCGGATGTCGTGGCTCCCACCTCAGCTTGACGATGAGCTTTGTTAAACTTGAACGTGTGAACGCATTATGTCACAAGTCTGCCGTCTTGGCAGGGTTTCCGCCTTGAAGTAAGGGGTAAACTCATGTTTAGAAATACGCACTTCGAGCCAGGTGCATGCTGCTGGTAACACTGCAACACTTGTGGGCTGTGCAATACGAGGTTCTGGCTCCTACGGCGGTGACCGCCGCGCCAGTTTCCACTTCTGTGCTTGGCAAGCCTGAGGCATTGTTTTTCTCCGACTGCACTTTGCAAGTGACTCCTGAGCGTGTGTGCTGTCACTTCTTGTCACTTTGTCCTGCCACGTGTTGGTTCTGCTGCAAACGTGGTTCAAAGCCTTGCCCTCTGAGAAGGCCCCGGGATGGTATGGCAACATCATCTGTAATTATAATCGGCGCTGCTACCCCACTCCCGCCCCTCATCACCCCACATCAGCTGATTTTTTCCGTCTCACTGTGACTTTTAGCTCTGACTTGGTCTGCTGTCATTTTGCTGTGAGGTGAAGACCGTGCCGCTTGGGACGCACAAGGTCGGACCCGCCGGGGGGTAATGCTCACTTTCAGTGTTTTTTTTGGTGGAGAAATCAAAGAGTTTTTTGGTTGCTGGGGACAATCTTTTGAGCTGTTGAGGTACGCAGGTGAAAGCACCCACTTCAGATTGGGGGTTTGCCTGCGTTCCCTTTGTTAAATAGTTTGAGTCTGGAGGGTTGAGGGACCTTGAGGTGCTCTGAAAAGGCAATACGGATAAGAATGCAATCCTACTCTCTCCTAGACCCGTTGTTTGCCGAATCACATGTGCACAGACGCCCATGCAGTCGTCCACGGCAGGGGCTGGGAACTCAGAAGAAGTGTTCCAGGTTATCTATATACATGGTCACTCCCCATGACCCACGCTGTCACACCTCCTTTGTTATTATCGTCGTGTTTTTTCTGTCGGTACGGATGTAGGCATAGCTTCCAAAATTCGTTAAATCTACACGCACAAATACTTGCACGCACGCACACACTTGTATGCCTTCTGATGACCTTTCTACACTCTTGTGTGTAGTCGTTTTTCTTAAGTGTCTCGTGTTCTTTGCAAAACTTGAATGAGACTGACGACTGTCTTAATTCAATGTTGTTTTTGGTTTGAAATCAGTTCGCTCGACTGGCTCTCTCGGGTCTCTTCCGGCGTATCCTTCCTTACTGTGTGAATGTTTGAGCGACTGCCCTCGGGCGGCAAGTGTCGTGCTGAACTTCGACGGCCTTGTTTGCCCATGCAGGAGTCCTTTGTCACTCGACACGAAGAAAGCCTGAATCCTGCACCTTCATACTGGAAACTGAACTGTCGCCCGCCCTCAAGCACGAATCAAATTGGTGGGAATTGCGTAAGTTTAAACTGTGGTTTGCTATATCCCATGGTTGGCTACATCCCCGAATTCTAGGCTAGCACAAGCCCTCGATAAGCCTTGTCCCCTCCCCCCCACACGGACAAGAGTAGCCTAACCTATTCTGCGAGGAGTTGGTTTGAGCCTCCTGAAGCCTATGGAAGGTTTGAACAAGCTTAGAATAGCAGTTCCGAGCTTCAGGCCAAACGCCCCGGACCCCGAGCTCTGCCACAGCCAAAGCCTGGGCCGGTAGAGCCCAAGGTGGGGATGGTTGAGTTCGTGCATGGGACCACAAAAGCCCAATATGGCCCAATGCTTTTTGTTTGCATGCTGAGAGCCCGTCGTCCTTGTGAAGGTGGTCGCTGCCACTCCGCCGCCTAAGGCAGAGGCCTATGGTGCACTCACGCAATAGCCGATAGTGGCCGGCAAGAAGCGCGAATGTGACACATTGGCAGGTATTGAAAGCTGAGTTGACGTGTCCACCAGAAAGTGTTGCAGCAGTCGACGAGTCGCAATCATTGCCGAGCAATTGTAGAAGGCTGACGCGAGGCCGCTGATCTCCATAAGGTCTGGGCAGCAAGCAATGGACGAGACACAACCCGGCCACATCCGATAAACCACATCAAGCCCTTAAAGCAGCAAGAGGGTGTGCGTGCTGCTGGCACGAAACTGCACGGTTCTTCTTTCAACATTCACAATTGCCCTGGCATGCATGTGACTTCAGAACAGGGCATGTGTTCTGGGCGAACAACCGGGCTCTTTGACTTCGTCATGTAGTTTGTGCATGTGGGCTGTTCGGGCTTGGGCCGCTGCAGTAGATCCTGTTGGGATGCAGGTTGAGAAGCTCGCGTCTTTTTCGTTTGCCTCTTCTGAGCACACGTCCCTGTGCAAAAACGCTGTAAGAAGCAGCGTCTCGGGCAGGTTCGCAACAGATATGCTGTTGTTGCCTCCAGACATCAGAGTCCACCTAAAACCGCTTTGACAGGCAAAGCTGCCGCCTCAGAGCGTGGTCAAGGCCTGAAGGGCCTGAAGGGCCTCAAGTCAGACAGGAAGTGGGTTGAGGAACTTCGGGATTTTCATATTTCCGGTGTTTGAATACGGTACAGGGGACACTTTGGGATTTGCAGGCTCTGGGCCGGCCGGGGTTCCAAGGGCCTTGCCGGGGGCGGATTGCAGAAATCCCAAAGGCAGCGTTTTCTGATGGGTCAGTTCGAAGTCATACTGCGAAGTACAGTGGAAAAACAGCCCTCCTCTGAGGGTGCCTTTGCCTTTGAGAAGGCTTCGGAGCCACGTGCTGGGCGTCGACGCACGGAGGACCCCGCCCAGGTGTCACCCTGTTCAAGAGTACTATGTAAAGCACAGGCTTCGTGTGTTGAGGCTTTTGGGGCTTAGATGGGCGTAGTAGATCGGCGATTTTGCCGTAATTTGGTCCAGGGTTCGGGGATGCAGCTTCCCACAGGATCAGGTTGGGGAGTTTCTGCTTCAGGCAAAGGTTTCGGGCTCGAAGCAGGCCAAGAGACCTGGACTTTCAAGGGCTGGATTCCGGGGTCGGGTTGTTGCTTCTTGGCGTGCTTGTCGTTCTTGTTGTGCTGGACGTGCTGTGCTGACAGTTCAAGACATGAGGCAGTGTTCCATCAGCAAGGCTTGCACAGAACGATCTGCAAATCAGTCTTCGAGTTAATGTTCACGGTGACTGGCCTTTCGTAAGTTATTCGATGGAGTCTGGTCGGAGTGCGTAGGCCGGTAGCATGCAGTTAAGCTAACAGCCACTAGCCCGGAAGAGCATCGCTAACAGGCTCAGTAGTGGCAGAACAGCATACTTACGTGGGTGGCTGCACGTGGCTGTTACTTGTGTGAGAATGGCTTCATTTTCTATTCTCCAAACACACTGGGGTCTTACATTGGAAAGAAGGAAATTAAAGGAGTTCCCCCCGCGGCACACGCCGGAGGGCTCTGCATCCATGACCCCCTGGGTGTCCTCTAGGCCTGGATGCCCTTGCCTAGGTGCCCTGTGCATGTCAAATCGTGCGAACGATGACCCTTCCGTTCGTGTGCCCGCGTCGCTCTCGTCTAGGAGCCATGCGATCCGCAGATGGCATTCAAAACAATCTGGAAAAAAATGTGGTTTTCACATGGTGGCAGATGCCAAGTCGCTCTCCCTCTGGCCTGTCCCGCCTCGGGCCCATGCGCTAGTGGAGGCTTACGTCGCTCCGCGTCATGAGGGGGGTTTGCAAACATCACGTTGCAAAATGGTGCTGTCTCGCCTTGGTCCCGTGCCGCTTTTCTTGGAGCGCCTTTGGAAAGGTCTTGGAGTTGAAGGGCAGCATTTCTAGACCGCCGCTACCTTCAGCCGCACCACCACCCTTCGTGGCAACGCGTTGCGCTTTGTGGGTGAGCTCTCGGCATTTGGCACCATCGTCAGCATACGTCTCGTTGCAAGTTGGACACCGAGTTTTGGTTGAGTCTTTCTCTGTGAGGCTGCAATTTGTAGAGTTGTCTCAGAAAGAGCGACGAAGCTGGGTTTAGGGTTACCATTGCCCACCCTTTACCTCCCCCAAAAGCATCGAAGTGCAACCCCTAAGCTGCCTACATGTTCTGCTCTTCTTTCGCTTCCTCTTCTCTTCCGCCTTCAATCCGAAGACAGGTGCCGCCTGCAAAACGTGTCTTCGACTGGGGCCTGCTGGACTGCCGCTTCCGCTTTAGCTGCTGTGTCGTTGCGAGCTTTGCATTGTTGGAGCCAAGCAGTCAATCCAAACCTCAAGCTTTTCCTCGATTTGGTAACCCAAGCGACAGTCGCAGAAGGATACTGAGATCTCTGAAGCTTCGTAGTCGGCTCGCTGGAAATCACCGAACCTGCAGAGACCACACCTTCACTGAAACGCAGGCCAAGATCGACTCGCTCCTGTTGGGAGCGGAGAGCAGCTTCTTCCTGCATCGGCGAGGCACTTTCATTTCCTAGAGGCTTTTGTGTTTGTGTGTCTGTGTGTCTCTGTGTGTCTCCGTGTCTGTGTCTGTGTCTGTCTCTGTCTCTGTCTCCGTCTCTGTCTCTGTCTCTGTGTCTGTCTCTGTGTCTGTCTCTGTCTCTGTCTCTGTGTCTGTGTCTGTGTCTGTGTCTGTGTCTGCGTCTGTCTCTGGCTCTCTGGCTCTCTGGCTCTCTGGCTCTGGGGGCTCTGGGGGCTCTGGGGGCTCTGGGGCTCTTGCACCTCTGAGGCTCTGGGTCTCTGGGCTGGGACTTTGGGGCTCTGGGGCTGTGGGGGCTGTGGGGGTCTGGAGCTCTGGGGCTCTGGGGTCTGGGGCTTGGGGGGCTCTGCGGCTCTGGGGCTCTGTGGGGGTCTGGCTCTGAGACTGTGGGGGGGAGCTCTGCGGCTTTGGGGGGCTCTGGGGCTCTGGGGGCTCTCTGAACCTGGGGCTCTGGGGCTCTGGGCTCTGGCTCTCTCTCTGTCTCTGCATCGGTGTCGGTGTCTGTGTCTGTGTCCGTGTCCGTGTCTGTGTCTGTGTCTGCGAAGAGTTTCGCAGTATTGAGAGGAGACGGAGTTGAGACATGGAGTATGGAGTTGTGGTGGTGCTCGGTTGTGGGAAACATGCAGGATTTAACTAGTCTTGGCGGAGCATTGCCCTAAAGCTCCTTTCAAATGGAGCTTGTTGTCCCATCTCCACTTGATTTTCCGGTAACTCCGTACAGCATTCATGGCGCGCATGTAGAATATAGACATCCGATTTACAGGGACGGTCCTCCACATAGTACTTGGCACTCAAACTAGCCAAGTTCCGAGAAGGTGATGGCCTTCGACTTCCAGGTTACGAACCCGAGACCTGCGAAAGCAGCGGAGACGTGGTGGCACCTAGTCTAAGGATCCCATGTTCCAGTCCTGTCAAGGGGGGACCTGGCCAATGCCATCAGCGCGCAAGCATGCCGAGGTCTGTCGTCTTTTGTTTGTAAATGTGTCTCCCATGGGAGCATGGTGAGGCGAAGCATGAATACCCTCGGAATCTACTCCCACGCCAGTCCCATGTTTCTTTTGCAACAGTTGCAGAACTCATACAAGAGTTACAAGATTTTCATGTGTCCGGATTCCGGAACTCAAGCAAATCAACATCTCCTTTGATCCTGGTCCATTGTCCATGTCGGACAATGGACACAGGATCCTGAGCAGAAAGTGTCATTGTAGAGCAGAGAGGCGGTCTCGGCCCCCCTTTTGCACTTGCTGAAGCTCGCAATGCCTCGCCCCTAATTCCCACACAAGAAGCCGAGGATCGGAGGACGAGGCGCGGTGTACTGGGGAGAATCATCCAGGCGTTGTTTTGACATCATTGCACGCAGTTTTCTTGTTTCTGGTCTTCCGGAAATACCTTACATGCAGTACCACTTGTTGGGTGTGTGCATCCAGCAGGTAGAGAGCTCGGGAATGTAGTCCGAACAAACGAATAAGCCTTTGCATCTTCGGCAGCCCAAGGAGGATGCGTACGAGAGTGAAGAGTCTGAGGACTGAGAGCAAGGGGGATGTCCGGGATACGTCGAGCAGCCGAGCTGTTCGGGTCCCTGGGTCGGTTGCTTTGCAAGATGACCTTGGCCAGGAGTCAGATGCCGCAAAGATTCTGGGCGCTCCAGGACACTCTGGTTTTAAACTATGTGTGTCTGTTCTTCACGGCCTGGTCTCTGGCACATGCTTGCTGGCGTGAGGACCTGCGGATGCAGACATGCAAGATGATGATGAAGAGTTTGAGGAGGAAGAGGAGGAAGAAGAAGAGTGCGAGGACTGTGTTGGTCTGCTCCGGGAACCCCTTGCAATGAAGTCATGATGTACTACAGTTACTACAGGGGTATATCGACTCGACACGCACACCATCTCCTTGAAGGAAGATGATGTTGTTGAGGAGGACTGGGCCCACGGGAAACAATTGGATCATCTCTCGCGGTGGATTTCAAGGGCTTTGCATTTCGGCTTTGCCACATCGTGCAACACGACAGGTACCAAGTTCTCTGTAGAATCATCGCGAGGCATGCGAACTGTCGGTGTCATGCAAGTGTGGCTATGACTGCTTCGATGGCACGCAGTAACTAGGGCCAGCAGCACCTTTTGGGTGTGACTGCCAGATACAGGTGCACTGAGAATCCACATACGGTCCATCTCGAAGCCTGATCCGCACACCTTTACAGCCTGTGGCTTTAGGTGGACAAGGTGGATGCCATGGCTGCGGTGGTTGCCACCACCCGGCCCAGGCCCCAGAGAAGGCTGAGATGCTGGGAATCGGCAGGTCACTTCTCCAGCTCCTCCTGTGCCTCTGGTACAGTATCTTTGTCACAATCCCGGTGCATGGAAAGACGACACGCAAACCTTGCTGCTATACATTGAACAGGGTTCCTCCCTTCTCACACGGAAAACTCCCCACTCAAGAGGGCTGTTGCGGCTTCAGGCCCAAGGCAAAGATGCCTCCGCCACCACCGAGCCGCGAGGCGGTCCAGAAGGATGTGTCACATCAGGGTTGAATCGTGTGCCTCTGTGTCTGTCTCGGTCTGTCTGTCTCTGTGTGTGTGTGTGTGTGCGCGTGTGCGCACCCTCTTCGAGGTTGGGTGCAGTGGCCAGGACAGTGTAGTTGAGCTTGGGAGCGCAGGCTTTCGATTGATGCCCATGATGCCTTGCGGGTTTCTTTGATGGACGTTGAGAGTGATGGCCTGGGGACCTTCCCATTCGTCTGGGAGCATGAGTCGAGAGCTCCTTGGTGCAGTCGCTTGATCGAACATCATGGTATGTGATGGTTAGAAGTCGGGCGGCTGATGCTCATGATGCTGGTCTTGGGAGCCCTTTCTTTTCAAGAGACTTGGCGTTTGAAGCTTCATCTGCTTCTGGGTTCGTCCCCTGGCAGTGCAGGATCACGTGTTATCCAGATGGTTACAAGACCCGTGGAATCCTGCCCCATTAATCCTGTACAGTACTACAGGCCGACATGAATGCACATAAAGTCCACCGGCCCCGAGCTCTTGTTGTGTTGCATGAAAGTCTGTGTCCGCCCAATGCCGGCTACAAGGTGTCCGAGCCCAAGGCACCGGCAGCTGCTGGAGCTGTGCGACCGTAATGCTGCTGCGGCTTGTGCGGTTTTTCTTGCAGTTTGTCTGGCACGATCTAGCACAGCCTTGTGAAGAACTTCATGGGTTTTCAAAGCTGGGTCCATATGGATACGATCACCTGTGCAAAACAGTCGTGCTTGGCGGTACGATGAGCTGATCCTCCAGCGTTTTGCATATGCTGTAGTTCAACGGGCTTGTTTGTTTTTGGAGCTGTAAAAAGGCTGGCAGACTCCTGTAAACCTGCAGGCCCCGGCGCTATCCACCCGCGCCAAGCCACCACCATTGCCTCGAGAGGCCAAGTTCCAAAGGGCAAATTCTTTGCTTAGAGCTGCTTTTGGAGCTGCTTAGTAACTTAGTATGCTTCTTTAAGTGCAGGATTCAGAGGGACAGCTGGGACTCGGCAGGGATGGCTCGATCCAAGATGTGCCGTACGTAGCAGGGTTTGCAGCTGCACGGCCCAAACGCCCCAAGGGCCATGCGGTCCCGAACTACCCCTCTACCCCTCGCCCTCGGCTCCCCGGTTTCTTTCCAACAGACAGCCCCTGTTCAGCGCCGGCCCAAGCTCAGCGAGCGCAGGGACGAGGAGCTGGAGGCAAGTTAGCACAGTTCAGCCAAGGTTGAAACGACAAGCCCGAACCCTGCAGCGATGTCGGCAGAAGGGCAAAAAAAGGTTTCAAGCTCGAATCCGACTCGAATCCCGGCCAGGAGCCAGCTGCCCCAGAAGCTCCAGAGGCATCCAAGGCCGAGGCTGCGCTGTGCTGATGCGATCCCCCCAAGGGCCCAACAAAGGCCCTTAAGGGCCCTGCAGGGCCCGTAAACGTCTAACGGGTCAAGGCGCCTCTCCAAGCAGGCCAAAACGCCCGAAATCCTCTGCAGGAGGCCCACCATGAGGAGGCGCTGGCTTTTGGAGGGCTTTTGGAGTGCTGCTTGGAATGTTTGCAATGATAGTGGGACCTTGGATCCGAGCCGCAACTAGCCCGGGCAATGTGCTCACGAGGACGACGACTTCAACGACGAGGAGATGATGGCCACCTTTGCGGCCAAGCTTCAGGAGCCACCTTCTAAGACTTTGAGTACCTTGAGTGGTTCTTGATATCAAGCATGACCCCATACAGGTACCATATGAAAGCCTTGAGCTCTCACGGGAGCACTTGTTTTTCGGCCTAAAGTGGAACGTCATGTCTTGTTTTCGTGAGCGCGCTGTCTGTCTGTGCTCCTGCAGAGGTTTGCTGGATTTCCTGCCGTGTGTTGAGCCTTCCTGCGCTTATTTTCTGAGCTTCCTGTCCCTCCCCTGAGCAGGTCGGGGAATGCATGCAACATGGGATGCGAGGGCGAATCGAGGCGACACTGACTAATGGCACATTAGTACTCGAAGCTCAAATACTGTGGCGGCACAAAGGCACAGGGTCTCCTCTGGCAGTGACCCCAGGAGCCCACACAGGCTGCAGTGCCACCGCTGGATGGACGGGGTCGCCAGGGGCCATGGACAGTCTGGGGTGCTTTCAAGGCCTTTGGGAGGTTCATGAGAATCTCAAGTGCAGGCTGAGGGAGGGCACTCTCGATGTTCAAGTAAACACGATGGTGGTCACAACCAACCCTGAGTTGGATGCAGAGCCACAGCTCCCCCCCCCTACCAGCCTTCCGCTAGATGTTCATGTACACAGCTTTATGTTGAGAGCTCAACACAGATGACTCACTTCAGGTCCCATGGTTGCTCGTGGCGACCAGGCTGCCCTGCCCGAAACGGGTTCAGGGGCTTTCGGGGGATACTTTTGCGGATGTTGCTGTACCGAGGCAGTGGTGCGTTGCTTTTCTTCCTCCCGCATTTCTGCCCCTTTTGTTAGGTAGGACAGTCAGACCCTGTGCAGCTCCAGTGCACTGTGGGCACGCTGAGTGCACGCAAGTGAGGAGAGCATGCGTAGTTCAGGACTCCGACCAGAAACCTGCCAACATCGCCACGAGAGCCAAGGCCCAGTGGCAGTTGGGCTGGGGTACTGTAGGTAGGCTCTCGCTCTCCTTTTTCAGACGAGGGATCCATGTCGTGCGTGCCAACAGGCAACATGTCTGCAAGCACAGTCAGCTCCGCATTGTGTGCAAGAGAGACAGTCTGTTCTGTGACAGTAGAATACGGGCGTGCTGGCCAGAACTGATGCTGTAGATGCCGGGTCGCGGGCAGTCGCTGCTAGCCTTCTTCTGCCTCCGACCCCAAGGCCAAGCCAAAGCCCAAAGCCTGGGGGCTGCCGCCGCCGCTCTCAGGCAAGAAAAGGCTCAAGGAGGCCCGGGCCTTGATAAGAATCGGGCTCTCCCTTCTGCTGCAACAGCATCCCTCTGGGACTTCCACTGTGGCCCCAAAATAACCCGGTCTGCGCCCTCAAACCTCAAAGCGGCAGCTTATGGCAACGAGGGTTTTGTAGTGCATGGGCCCAGGATGCGAAACCGCCCCGAGAGCCTGAGGCAGACGGGGTCGAGGTTAGGGAGGGAGGGAGGGAGAGGGAGGGATAGTGCTCTGTAGGCAAGTTCAAACTCTCAACATTGAGGGGCTTGGTGGTTCAGGGGGTTGCCTAGAATCTAGAGTGAGCAAGAATGTTGCTTTTGGGGCATCAACAAAGCTCGACAGCGTGTTATCATGTGTCTTGTCTACCTGGCTTGCCCATCTTTACTTATCGCATGAAGCCACCTTGTATCGACCGCAGTGCTCAACTTGCAATATGCCCCCGGTGCTTCCGCAGAGCTGTGCTTTGCGAATTGCATGCCAAGCTATCTAGCACCCTTGTCGGCCTGTTTCTATTTGGCTTTGGCACCCGTGCGTGAATGTCTTATGTTTTTTGAGGAGATGAGAATGGATGCCTCATTCAAAGGCACGGCAAAACTCATTGGCCCATGCTATGCCCTCTTTCTTGGGCTCAAAGGCTTTGCCAGAGGAGCAGCCACCGCCACCCTTCTTTGTCATGCTGGCATCTTTGGGAGCTGCGGTTTTGTGGGTTTTGTCGGATTTGCGAGCTTTTCAAGCAAGTGCAGGTGAAGCATGTGACGTGCCAGGACCAGTGGTTGGCGAGCCTGAAGTTCATCGCCGGGTGGAATGACCAGTTCTTGACTCAGCCATGGCTTTAAAGTTGAAGGGTTGGGTTTAAGCCCCAAGCTCAGGGGTTTAGTGTTCCTTCCGGCTTACGATCGTGCCCTCAGTAAACCTTATCAAGCGAAAGGAAGCGCGAAACAGAGGAAAGCAGTAGAAGGTTGCCGGGAAGCCCTGCAGCCTCGAGGGAACCATGGGATCCAACCGAAACTCTCCAGAACACATCCTTGACCCGCGAATAGGGTTGGTTTCTAAAAGGGTGGGGGAGTTTTTCTATGATTTTTGTTAACACTGCTAACAATTGATTCTTTTGGGGCCCGGGAGCCCCCTCAGCCCAGCTGCAGCCTTCAGGTTGTTGCTGCAGCGTAGGGTTGTGGTGGGCATTGCGGGTCAGGCTTTTTCCTGCTACCCGTCCCCTGTTTCCCCAAGGGCATCAAGGGCTTTCCCTGCTACTGGTACGTGCCTCACCCGACTTCACATACGAGTATCTTTCAGAGAGCACTGCGGCGATGCACGAAGCGAAGTCTCAAAACGTTATAGAAACAAGTTGCTATGGCCGCCAAGGTCACAACCTACACCTTCGGACTGTTAGAGTAAGAATGGGGCTTGGAGCATGCGTTTTTCGGGGGGGGGGGGGGGGGGGGGGGGGGGGGGGGGGCGGTGGTGGCCCAGCAGTGGGCCATTCAGGTGCATGTCTCACCCCTGTGCGGGAAGGGGTGAGAAGCCGAAAACGAAGCCGATCGTAATTAACCCTGATGGTTCCATTGTCCTGATCTCCTAAATTAAGTCTGAAACTCCCCAAGCGCTCTATCTAAGCTCTTGAACTGATGCCCTCCTACTGGCACCCGATCCCCGAAGGCTCAGACATGCATTTAGAGTGCCCCAGGAAAAAGCACCAGGCCTCCGAGGTGCATTTGCAGGGTGCGTTTGCAGGATGTTGCAAGATGCTCGTAGGATGCTCGTAAGATGCTAGTAGGAAGCTAGGAGGATGTTGCAGGGCTTGCAGAGGGTTTTTTGGGAGAGTTCAGTTGAACCTGTCTTTGCGGGGTTTTCGAAAGTTTGTTAGTCGCAAAGAAAACGGGTCAATGTTTGCGAATGTGCTCTGACGTGCTTTCAAGTCAGCTAGGTAAGCGGGTTTTGCAGTGTTTGAATGTGTTCTTTTGCTGGACCGTAGCTCAAATTCTTTGCCCTTCAAAAGCTAGGGAGGACTTGTTGATCTGGAATTTCGGAAATTTGGAAGGGGGGCCTTATAAACTTGTGAAATGGCCAGGTGAAGGAGGCCTTCAGCGAGTACCTCGCCGCAGAGGTGCGTTTGATGCAACAGAGAGCAGCATGGGCAGTGTCGAGCTGGCCAAGAGCCTCCTATGAAAGGACATTGTCGGCAAGACCACTGTGGAGCAGCTGTGCCGAACGATCGCCCGGGGCTTGAATGAAATTCCTTTGTTTCTGTGCCCGCAGCATGTGCTCTGATGCTCTGGGACCCCCATGTGATGCCGATGTGATGCCGATGTGATGCCGTGGATGAGGTTCCGCTGCTGCTGGACTTGGAAAGGGTCGACACCATGGTCGTCTCACATCTGCGGGCAGAGGTCCTTGCTTCAGGGCTTTCATGCGACGCGTGAAGCAACAACGGTGAGGTGTCACTCTGTTTCTGCAAGCTGGGTCTGTTTCGGAAGGTCCTGAGGACTCTGAAAATCGTGCAGGCCCGCAAGCTCTGTCCGGCTTCCGGTTTGGGATCCAGGGTGACATCTGAGATGTCCTGACATTGCCTAAGTGCGTGCTGCGTGGCTTTGTATCCTTGTGGTAGCATAAATCAGTTCCCTTCAGAGGTGTGTATCTTGCGCATCGTGACCTTCGAAATGCTGCGAGAGGTGCCTACTCCAGTCCTCGCCTGTGAGCCCCTTGCAAAGCCCATTGGGGGTTTTCAATCCTCAGCCCACGAGCAAAAAAGACTTGCAATGATTCACAGATGGTAAGCACCATTCGAAACCTCTGGCCAAAAGACTTCTGGTCGACCTTCATATTTTGACACAGCTCGTCTGACACTACATGGCATAAGTGTAGACAACCTCTCATTTGGGGAACGACGGCATTTGGTGAGCCGCTTCGGTTGAATACCTTTGCGCTTGCTTTTCTCACTCTTTGAAGCAGGTGAGATTGGTCCGTACTTGTTGGGATGTTCGGGACTCCGAACCTCTAAACGCTCGACCCCTGCGACCCCGTAAAGCCCATCCCTGGATCCACAAAACCCCGAACACCCTTCAAGCCTCTACTAAGAACTCTTGGTGCCCTGGGGTCATCAGCAGGCTGATGCCGCGCAGAAGAGGGGTCCCAAGGGCAAGAAGGCTCGTGGTGGGCAGACAAGTTGGGTCTCTGCACCCTGGAAGAGTTGACGTTAGTTTGAGGCGTAAAAGTCCGGATGCTAGAGCCCCAGACCTCAACCCTCTGTCCCACACATCTCAGCGTGGCCAGGTCCAACCTGAAGTGCCCCCAGAAGGTGCTGCGTGCCAGCCTCAAAATGGTTTGCGTCTTGGGTGGGTTGCTCAGTGTCAGCGTTGGGACTCCCGCTCATGCTCGTGGCGCCAATTCGAGAGAGACAGAGAGAGAGAGAGAGATATATATATATATATATATGTATATATATATATATATATGGGCTGCCGCCTATCCCCCCCCCCCTGCATTTTCGATGTCTCCATATAGTACTAGTAGGCACTCTTTCAGAGAGTAGCCGAACTAGAAACTATAGCACAGCCATGTCTATAAACACAGCTACTGTTTAACCCTACCACCCTCAAACGCCCAAACCCAAGCCTTCCCCCCAACAGGGCTGAAATGAAGATATTTGCTCACAGTATTCCCGTGTTCCCGCGGGCATACAGTAGGTACTCGTTCAGTATCTTGATACAGTAGCCTAACTAATTAGTAACTATAGCACAGCCATGTCTATAAACACAGCTACTGTTTATAAACACAGCCGCTGTTTATAAACACAGCCACTGCTTATAAACGCAGTCACATCAAACATCTAAAACCATACCACCCGTAAACGCCCAAACCCAAGTAAACCATTTCAACCATTTCAACCGTTTTAAATCCTTATGGCTGAAATGGAAAAAAATAACCACTTCAACCATTTCAACAGTTTTGGAATGGGTGAAATGGTTTAGTATTAATAGTACTAATAGTATGAATAGTCTCAATAATATTAGCAGTATTAATAGCATTAGTAGTATTAGTAGTATTAATAGTATTAATAGTATTAATAGTATTAATAATATTAATAGTATTAATCGTATTAATAGTATTAATAGTATTGATAGTATTAATAATATTAATAATATTAATACTATTAATAATATTCCAAGCATGCATTTGGCCAAACGAATGGTTCACTCTGCAGCCACAGGAAGACCTGCTCCCAACACATCAATAATATTAATAGTACTAATAATATTAATAGTATTAATAATAATAATAATAAAATTATATTAGTATTATAATGGTATTAATAACATAAGTAATATTAATAGTATTTTAATATTAATAGTATTAATGGTATTAATGGTATTAATAGTGTTAATAGTGTTAATAGTATTAATAGTATTAATAGTATTAATAGTATTAATAGTATTAATAGTATTAATAGTATTAATAGTATTAATAGTATTAATAGTATTAATAGTATTAATAGTATTAAAATATTAATAGTATTCATAATATTCATAGTATTCATAAGAGTATTAATAGTATATTATATTCTTAATATTAATCGTACTAATATTATTAAATATTAATATATTACTGTTAGTATAGTATTTAATAGTATTAATGGTATTAATATCTAATAGTATGATATAATTAATAGTATTATGTATAATTAATTAGTATAGTAAAACGTATGATAGTAGAAATACTCTTAACATTAGTATTCAGCGTATGATTATTTTAAGTTTCTCATTTACTTTAGGTATTTAATACGATTAGATTCATATTATTGATCACGAATAGTTTAAGTCTACTATAATATGATATTATATATAAGAAATACTATTAATACGATGACTACTAATCATAGTATTAATGCTATTAATACTATTCATATTATTTATACTATTGATAATATTGATAGCATTGATAGCATTAATAATATGATTTTTATAGATACTATTAATATTTTGAATATTTTGAATATTATATTCATACTACCAATACTATTAATGGAGTTAATATTTTTAATACTAGTAATATTATCAATACTATTAGTACTATATTAATACGACTAATACTCCCAATATTATTAATAGTATTAATATTATAATAATGAAGATTATGTATATTATTAATAATATACCCCCCCCCCCCCCCCCCCCCGAAGAGAATATTCACATAGACCTTAAAGGTCCTACGTACAAAGCCCTATAGGGCTCTACAAGTTCAAAGGTTTAAACCCTATAGGTCTCTAAAAGGCTCAAAGGTTTAAACCCTAAAGGCCTATAGGCGCTGAAGGTATAAATGCCCAGACTCTTAGGTTTAAATTCATATAAAGTTTAGGAATTTAAGCCTCAGGCTTAGGCATTTAAACCTTCAAACCCGATAGGGTTTAAAGGCGAAGGGTTTTTCAGGGTTTATCTCTAAAGCCCTGACATGGGGTTGAACCCTGCCTATAGAGTTTTAACCTTAAAGGTTTAAGGCTTAGAGGGCTTGAGACGTCAGCCCCTAAAGCTTAGTTCCCACAGGGTTATGCCTATGTTTGTACAGCGTAGGGCTTGCCTCCTGTGGAAATGCAAACGAAAAATTAGTACCCACATCATGTATGTATATAGATATCAAATACAGATAATGGAGAAGGAAGGATGGTAAGCCTCGAGCCATAAGACTAGGAAGTATTCGGGTGCATAGGGTGATGCGAAATATCTTTGACTATAAGCCCCGGGGATGCGAGAATACTGTGAGCAAATATCTTTTCACTATTTCCTGGGACCACCTGGGGCGTATGTGGTGTTGATCAAAAGAAAAGATCTAATGAGTATTGAATATACAATAATAAGAAAATAATACATATAACACCTGTTTATACACACCGACCCTGTTTATAAACACCGCTTCCCAACAAGAAAATATAAAACGATGAAGTTGGTGTTGACTTTGTGCTACCTGGGCAGGGGGACGGATAGGGTTTAGGACTTTGTTCTCGTTTCCGTGGGGCCTACATGTAATACAATAATATACCTACACTATGTGGGTAGAAGTTCCACCTTTTCATACAACACATACACCCTACATACATACACAGAGGGTTTAGGGTTTACTGCCAGTGCCAATTCAGCAACGAACCAAAGAACCAATGTACCAATGTACCAATGTTTTCGGCCCATGGTTGGTACAAAGGACGACCCATGACCCAATGTACCAATGTACCAATGTACCAATGTACCAATGTACCAATGATTTCGGCCCATGATTGGTACAAACATCCTATGTACCAATCATGGGCCGAAATGATTGGTACATTGGTACTTTGGTTCATCCTATGTACCAATCATGGGCCGAAATGATTGGTACATTGGTACATTGGTACATTGGTACATTGGTTCATCTTGTGTACCAATCATGGGCCGAAAAGATTGGTACATTGGTACATTGGTACATTGGTACATTGGTACATTGGTACATTGGTACATTGGTACATTGGTACATTGGTACATTGGTACATCGGTTCTTCATTGGTTCATGCTATGTCCCAATCATGGGCCGAAATGATTGGGACGTTGGTACGTTGGTGCGGTTGGGTTCTTGTCCCAATCATGGGCCCAAATGATTGGGACGTTGGTACGTTGGTGCGGTTGGGGTCTTGTCCCAACCATGAGCCGAAATGGTTTGGACAGTGGTGCGTTGGTGCATTATTTTATTGGTGCATTGGCACACATAATGAAAAACATCGAGCGCAGACAAAGTGCAATAGACAGAAATTGCAGAAAAGGTAGGGGGGGGGGATAGGCGTGTACCCATATATATATATATACAAGGGCTAGCTGTGGTTGTTGTGCTCAGTAACGCTCATGGCACTTAGATGTTGGGGGCCTTTTGGGGCCTTTGTCGTGGCTGCTCACATCCGTGCACGCAGCGGGGCCCCCTCCAAGGTAAAGTGGTTTAGCGGTAAAAGGCTTGCACCACTCAAGCGTTTGCATGCCTGCTTTGGCCACGTGTCGGGCAGCTTCGTGTACAGGTGGGAAACGAATCCCGTACACCATACGCACATTTGTTTAAAGGCTTCATGGTGTGAGAAGCTTTCCCACTAGTGGGACCACTCCGCCTGGTCCTCCGACCCCTAAAACCTCCTAAACCTACCAAGCCGAGGTACCTTGCTAGTGACATCACCTCCCTCGCCAAGGTAGGTGGGTCGAGTCATTTAGCGTCCGATTTTGCTTGCTGCAACCTCGGGCACCATTCGTGAGACAGCTGAAAGCACTGCAAATGTGGTAATGTGTGGTAATGTGTGGTCATGTGTGGTCATGTGTGGTCATGTGTGGTAGTGTGTGGTATTGCGTGGTAGTGAGTGGTATTGTGTGGAAATGTGTGGTAAGGTGTGGTAATGTGTGGTAATACCTGGTACTATGCGGTACTGTGCGGTACTGTGTGGTAATGTGTGTGGTAATGTGCGGTAGTGTCGTAGTGTCGTATGGTATGTGTAGTGTCGTAGTGGCTGGGAATCTGCATTGCAGCAGGTCATTCAGCACTTTCGCTTTGACCAGAATTTTACCAAGGGAGTGCAGTGGCCTGAGTGCGAAGTCGCACAGTTGCCTGCGCACTAATCAGGGTTCACTGAAGAGATACGTTTTGACCGCAGACCGAAGACACATTTTGAAGACACAGGGGCTCGGGTCTCAGGCACCCCTGAACGGTCAGCAGACACATGCCCAGCGAAGACGTGTCACGTGAACGTCTAAACACACATTCCCCGCGAAGACCGGTGGCGTCGCGAAGACACGTGGGCGTGAGAAGACACTTTACGAGAACACTTCCCGGGTCAAGACTTTTCCCGCAGGTGGGGAAGGCGCCTCCTACAGTGCGAAGATTCACGGCGTCGCGTGGCGAAGACACGCGGTGTCGCAAAGACACTTCCCGAAGGCAGGCGAAGACACGAGGCATCGCGAAGACATATGGGCAAGCGAAGACACTTTCCGAAGACACGTGGCGTCGCGATGAGCTTCCCGAACGCGAAGTCCTTCAACAATTTCAGTAATCTCAATCCCACATGCCTGAGGCATCAGCTCATCGTCGCTTTCCGGAAGCAAAAGGCGGACAAGCCCCGACCAGACAAAGGCCACGGCCGCCTGAGTTCAGATGATGATGTAGAGTTGGTGCTGTTGTTTGACCATCGTTTTGATGTCGGTGGAGTTGTGGGTGATTGAAGATGGAATTTGTTGTCGCGGTTGCTTCGTCAAGTTTCCCTCAACCCGAGCATCAATACCGCTCAACCGCATGTGCCGAAGTGGGACGACCACGACATACCACGACCATGAACGATTGTTGTACTCGTGCTTTTGAATTTCGTTAGCTGCCATTCTCCTTCTTCAGGTTCGTAGGCACGAGCTGTGTACAAGCACATGTGAATGAACAACCTTGGTGTTGGCCCAATCTGGGTTTCCAATGCTCTGCCGTCGCCTCTGCTCCGCAAGGCCCGCAAGGCCAAAGCGCCCCCAAGGCCCCACCGCCCAAAAAGCGGCGGGTCGAGGCCGAGCCTGTGGAGGTGCGTTTGAAAGTGAGTGAAAGTGCCATGCCTTGGGTGGAGTTACGTGGAGTTTCTGGGGCTCTCGGATTCTGGGCCTTGTTTCTCGCCTGAGCCCGCCGGTTATTTCGGTTTTTTGTTCGGAGCCTGGGAGGCAGTGGGCTCTTTGCTGGGCTTGGCAAGTTGCTTTGGTTGCCCATGGTTGCTGCCAGGCTGAGAAGGCCCCGGCGCCTGAGCAGGCCCCGGCGCCAGAGAAGGCCCCGGCGCCAGAGAAGGCCCCGGCACCAGAGAAGGCCCCGGCGCCAGAGAAGGCCCCGGCACCGGCACCGGAGAAGGCTCCAGTGCCAGATGCGCCGGAGAAGGCCACGGAGACCGAGGCGCCAGAGGCGCCCGAGGTGGCCGAGGCGCCCGAGGCGCCAGAGAAGCCAGAGAAGGCCGAGCAGGAGAACGCCGAACCAGAGAAAGTGGCGGAAGGAGACAACGATTTGCACCCAGAAGTGGCTTCCACATGCATCCACGACACCTAAAGGGATTCGTGCATTGCATGTGTTTAGATGTGTTTGGCAGCTAGCAGGTGTGAGCGTTGGACAATGTGGAACAGTGCGATGTAGAAATGGTGCTGTTTGAGGAGAAAAACTTCCCACAGAGGAGGATAACGGCGATAACGGCGACCAGGCTTGGCTTCAAGAGCACTTAGACCTTCGCATGTTTACGAACAGTGGGTGCTTTGCTGGACTTGCAAGAAACACCGCGGTTCCTGGTTCCTACTTCGCTTGGCACAACGCTTGTCGATCTTCGTTCCCAAGGCACCATGTTCTTAGTTGCCAACCAGCATGACTCGGGTACTTTCGCTAATCAGAAACACTGGTGATTCAGAAGGCCGCAATGGTTCAAACAGAGTCAGAATCTGTGCCCTTTCTGCCGATTCCCACCCCAAACTACGACTCTCTCACGAAATGATACCCTTCCATCCCAACCCGCAGATTACACCCGGACCGTCTGCCTAATCAGTTTCATGAAGCAGCAGCCCGCCCACCTCTGAAGCTGTGTTTGATAGTTTCCGAATCAGGTTGCCTGATTTGCTTCCGAACCAGCGCATCGCAATTTACTCCCAGAGTGCCCCCCCCAAGCCCGAAGCGCACAGCCTTCTGCAAAGGCGAAACCTTTGATTTTAAAACATGACGCTGAATCTGGTGTTTATTGGAGTAGTTTGCAAACTATCATGTCAGTATTGTATATTTCGCTATAATATATCGAGTTGTGCAATACTGATATGATAGTTGGTTATGATGAATGAAGGCGTTCCTAAACCACAAACTACGGACCGAAGCTATCCTCGAGAGGACGGCGAGGGCGATGCGGGCGGTGAGCTCGCACCCGAGAGTGGAGCTTGAGAAATTTGGACTCCAGTGCTCATGAAGCTGGGAAGGGTCTGACGACCCTGAACCCTAAACCTTAAACCCTAAACCCTACGATGTGAGCGTGGAACAGCTGCAAGTATGGCAAAGAATCGACTCCCCTACCTACCTATCCCCCTACCCCTATGCATGGGGATTGTGCTGCCGCAATGACTTTTCGTAGTTCGGGGGTTCTGTAGCTTCCTGAAGGCTAATTATATATGACACTTTGTGAGCCGTGGCAAGAATCAGTCGGCAGGAGTAGCAGCATGACAGAAAAGCCGGTGCCTGCAGTCTCTTGCCAAGGCCTGCCAAGAAGAAGCCGCGGCTCGTCTCCTGATGCTGCGCCACACATAGCAGCTACTGGAAGCGTCCCACCAAGCACCAACCAACGCTAGTCAGCTAGTCTCTACCCTTAGCCTCTTCGCCATGCAGTTGAAGAAGGCATTATTGGCAGAATTGTAATTAATTGGCACGTAGGTAGTTGTGCAGAAGAAGCTCCCGGCATGGCTCCTGCTGAGAAGGGGCCCGCAAAACTCAACAGCCATGTACCACATAAAGACATAAAAAGGGGCATTCAAGCTACCCCTCCGGGGTTTATGTCATCACTGCAGGGGTCTTCGTGTACATTGGAGTCGTTGCCGCCGCAACTCCTTCAGAGTGACTTACCAGCCCCAAAGCAGACTCAGCAAGTGTTGCGGCTGACAGCCTTCAGTGTGCTGGGGACTTGTGCTCCCACAGCTCGGATCAAGAGAGCCGAGTTTCGTCCCCCCTGTTCTGCGCAGCTAGGACCAGCGAGGTCGGTGAGTCTAAGGATTAGGATGGCAAGTGTGGAGGTAGGGCTTGGGTTTGGGGTTCATTCTTGTGCTAGTATTTAACGTATGGGAAAGTCTGTGATCTCCCGCTCTCTTTCTAAGAGTGCATTGCTTTGGACCGATACCTCATGTTTAGTGGTCCCAGCTGCATGCGCAGGCACGCGGACCCGCAAGGGGTTTAGAAAAAGACTTCTGCCATCTGCCAAGAGGTGTGATACTACGGTCCATCGCAAAATATCGCTGCCTTTCGCCCCACGTACCGTCGGAAGTTGTGAAGAGCGTGGCAGCGGAAAGGAGGTTTGCCAGGCATCGCAAGATGCGTCCAAATTATATGTAGATCGCACAGAAACTAGATGCTTGGGTGGGTGGGGGGTCAAAGTTTTCTAAGACGGTATGCCTGCATGCAGCCTGTTGTGGGGGGGGGGAATCCGACTTGTGGAAATAACCCTTGGCAATACAATGTCTTCGCGCGTTTTTCACCCTGTGATTTGGCTCGTGGGCAGATGTTCCGTGGCTTACGTGGAGACGGATTCGGAATGGGTGTGCATCTCGCATGTTGGCTCCGTTCCACGGATGGGGTTGGAATGCACATTTTATGGGCCAGGCATGGATGCGGTGGTCAGTGGCTAGAATCCAGGAAACCGTAGAAACTACCATTGAAACAAGGCCTTTCATCGAATGTAGCAAGGACCTGGCAAATTGCTGCGACGGAACCTGATGCTGTGCGTGTTGCTGCTCTTCTCACATCCATATCACTGGCGCGTGTGCATATTGCTATCTTTATCGTTTGTGGCCTTCCTGGGCCTTCCTTGTCCTGGGAGGCTGCCCCTTCACCGAGTGCCCCAAGAAAAGTTTGCGAAACCAAAAGCTCAACGCTATGTTTGGAGCTGTCCGGTTCACAGCGAGTGTACATCGGCTGCTGCGCCTTCCACCCAGGCAGGGCATCCCTAAGCTTGGCAGTCTTAACATTTCAGACGCTGTACAAGTCTGTACTCTGAGTATCTCTTAATTTTAACGCTACGCGATCTGCCTCGGCCTGGGCCTGCCCAGGGGTGAGGCAACTCAAGCCAGGATGTTAGGCGTCAGGGCTTGGAGAGGCTTCGTTGGAGAGGGCGGTAAAACCAGAAGAGGGTGGGGCTTAAACGTCCCTTGGTCCTGATGCACCGTCCGCTCCAGGACACTTGTCGGCTAGGGGGGTACCGATTCCAAGCAAGAATTGCCAAAATAAAGGGGTGGAGGGGAGAGCCCTCGGCGGATTCCCGTGCCTCGATACCACCGGTCCCCTATATCCGAGATTCCCATTCCCAAGTCCACCCTCAGACCCTCTGGCTTTTGGCCTTTGGCTGCACAATTCTAAGCTTCAAACCAAGTCTGAGCCAGAGCCGCAGTGGCTATGAGTGTGTTGAGCTAACTTCAAGTTATGGTTCAGTGAGCTAAGCTCCGTCCTGTTCTTTTCAAGGCCTCTTTCAGGCAGCTGCCAAACTTAACAAAAGGCAAAGATCAGAAGGTGGTGTGGTTGCTTGCTGTTCAGTTCCAGAGCTCCTTGGAAGCTCGCGTGCAAGGTTGGCCTTTGCCTTGCCATTTTGCCGGGCATGGCCCAGCTGCTGGGCTATGTTTGAGAATCTTTTTTTACTGGTTTCTTGTTCAATGATGGTGATGATGATAGTGATGATGATGATGATGATTCCGGGTGGCTTGCCCTTAGGCCTGACAGCAGCCGTGCACGTGCCAAATCGATCGGGCACTACATCCTAGGCGGGACCTTGCTTCTTCTTGGGCTTCAAAGTTGCGGGGGAGCCACTTCTGCCATGGCAATCTGCATCATTTCATCCTACCGTCCTACGTGCATTCGCAAACCAGAACATTGAGCCCAACTTCGGCGTTGGAACTCGAGATCCTGGACCACAGACCTGAAGCATTTTGCTTCTGCATCACGAAGCCAGATCTTCAAGACTAAGCTTCCTGATCTCAAAGCATTCTCAAAGCTCCTAGCTCGAGCCTCCAAACAAAGGAGCTCTGCAACTGAACAGGAAAGACGATCGGCGAAGGCACGTTCGGAAAGGTGCAGAGCTGAGCACTGGAGGTTAAGAGCCGAACCAGAGCAGCGTACGTACGCTGAATTTAAAAAGGATCTAGGCCGAGCTCGCGGGGTTTGGGTTCAAAGCTCAGTTCAGGAAGCCTTGGTCATCCTTCTATTATTGTTCTTGGGAAGTTTGCTTTGAGGATGCTACCATACCACCAGTACCATGAACTACTAGTAGCTCCACCGAAAGGTTGAACTTTCATATTGTGCGCCGAAGATGCACAAATGTGCAAATCTCCAGCTCACAGGGCGCCAAGAGTCAGGTCAAACTCGGAACCCACATCTTGACCTCCGAGCGTGTGGCCGTCAAAGCTGGGGCCTCGGTGCACGAACCTGAGGCTTCCCAGGACTGTAACCCCCATACCGTAACCTGCCGTAACCTCATACCCGAAGTGTCTTTTTGTAGGTTAGCCACCGTTCTGCGAAGGCGCCCGAACCCGGAGTACCTACCATCATCCCTCGCGGCCCAGATTCTCGAGAAGGAGCGAATCGTTGAAGTGGCCGATGTGGAGAGGGTGGCTCGTGAGGCAAGGACTGGGGTAGCGTGGGCAGTGACGAAGTCACAGCGACCGATCGCTCTGAGATGACAGCCGAAGTGATGTCATGCGGTCCCTTTCAAGATCATATTGAGAGTTCTTGGATTTCTGGAGACTTCGTTGGTTATCCGGGCAGTAATCCCGCAGATGCTTGTGACAGGTGCATATTTTGAAGCTCATCCGACACCCCCACATCGCCGCATCCCTGGGAGCGGGCTTTCCAGCGGGGCTTCCTGTTCAGCGCCGATACTTCGGAAGTTTCGGAGAAAATTACGACGAGAGGGTGTGTGCTGATCTTGTCCTTGTTCCGCGTTGCTCATAGATGTTGAGGTTTCGAATGGTGTCGAGTTAGCGATGATCCCGTAAACGGGGACGGCCTCCAACTCCCAACATATTTCGGGGGCACTCCGAGGAGATGTTAGACCCTTTTAAGGCACTCCGAGGAGATGTTTTAAATCGGGCCGAGAAGCAGAACAAGTCCGCTTCGTTGAGTTTGTATAATGCATATCTATATATATATATAAATATCTTGTTATAGATAGATATAGAAATATATATATATATATATATATAGATATAGATACATAGATACATAGATACATAGATACATAGATACATAGATATATAGATATATAGATATATAGATATATAGATATATAGATATATAGATATATAGATATATAGACATACAGATATATAGATATATAGATATATAGATATTTAGATATATAGATATATAGATATATAGATATATAGATATATAGATATATAGATATATAGATATATAGATATATAGATATATAGATATATAGATATATAGATATATAGATATAGATATATAGATATGCAAAGCAGACTGGAGTGCAGTTTGTTGTCGTTGACCCGCATCACGCTGCCAGTGATCACATGTGATCACGTCGAGTCGAGTCGTTAAGGCAAAGACGGTGCTTCCAAAGCTTGTTGGCTGAAATCTCCAATCTCAGAAGCCAGACGTTTAACATGGAGCCAGAATACTTCCGCCCAAAACTGTCCGTCAGTGTGCAACATATGATGGCTGCGCACGCGAGGTGCAGCTGTATGAGATCATTGAGACGCGCCGTCAACTTTATCTCATCATGGAGTGCCTCGCCAAAGCTTGCCGAGGGTGCCCAAAGTCCATGAAGTCTGGACGCGGTATTGGCTTAACGATACTCTGCTCCAGAAAAACCCTGCCTCAAGATGAGCTTGCGCAAGGCGTTTTGGCAGATGAGGTTTCGTGTATGCTCCAGTGCTCTGTCAGTCTCAGTGTCACCTTGCACGTGGTGCAGGTACGCAAGCGGTGGAGAGCTCTTCGACTACATCGTTGCCAGGGGGCGCGTGCCTGAACCAGAGGTGCAAATCTGTGCTTCGCAAACCTGCCGACTTGTTCCGGCCGGCGGACGCATATCTGTTCAGCCAGGTTTGCTTCCAGGAGTTCATTTGCAGAAAGATGGTGGTAGAAGGTCAAGTTGGGGACCGGGGCACGCCGGCAGGCATGCCGCTTCTTCCATCAAATTATCGCCGGCCTAGAGAAGGCTCGGACTGTGCCGTGTGTGCGTTTGGGCCAAGAGTAAACTGAAAAAGGTTCTCATTCAGGCCTTTGAGGGTGTATGGCACACATATCTGAATGTGCATGCGTGCGGCGGGCAAGCTGTGCGGCGCGCGGGTGACCACACGCGATCCACTGGCTACACACATCAAGGAGGGCTGAAGGTTCAAACCTCAAGCCGCTTTATGTTCATAGTTTTGCAAACCACAGGGGCGCATTAACTAAGAATGCCGAGATCTATGACATGAGCAGACAACCAATTTTTTCCAGCCAGACAGGTGCCGGTTCAAATCTTACAGGCGGAGCAATACTTGATATGCGTGGCCTATCTGATGCGGC